TTAAAGTAAAATGATTCATAAATTGTTATCAATATTTTAGCGATTACATTTTTTTGATATATAATAAATGGAAAAATGAATGAATGTCCGTAATGTAGATATAGGGCCTTGGGAACACTCGGATGCACCAACCACTTGTGTTCTGGTTTGCTGTAACCCTGACCTGTATTATAGTGCTTACGTTTTGTTAGAAATATATTGTATGATTCTGAGTATCTCAAATATCATAATCTCGTTATTCTAATTATGAGAGATTATGATCAGAGAGATACTTAAAATCAGACTTTATATTTCTATCACGTTTGATTTTCCTTTGGAAGATTTATGTTTCCAATGCGAGGGCTCGCTCTATACTATGTGAATCTCTTAACATCTTGCACCTTTAGGCAATGAATCTTTAATGGCTTGCTACTTCCTTGATGTGGAATAGTCTTAGGAAAGTCTTACTGCTGGTGCAATTGTTTTTCCTCCATTGATGGAAGCAAAAAGTCTCTTTGTTCACATGTCTCTGTGTGAAAATAGAAATCCCTTCGAATTGGTTCACCATCATTTCACAGAGCTAAACAAAATGAAGAAGCTTTCTATCTGGCTAGACACTCGTAAATCTATGTGTCGTGGTCTCTCCTTTCATCACTTTTTGGGATAAACGGTAATCATCGAATTTGTTAAGCTAGTCTGCATGGCAAATTGTGCGAGTTTAAGTACACTTGCTCAGACATTTCCCTATGAACTTTTACTAAAAATATACGAATAATGTAATTGCAATGTAATCTCGAATAAGCTGAGTTAGCTTCAATGTAAGATTGAATTGTGCCTGAGGAAGATTGGTCATTATTTTGAGTCTCGATCCAGGTAGCTTTCCTTGGAATTGCCTCTAGAGTAGACATGATCAATTAGCAGTTGGATTGGAACTGAGCTTAACTATCCTTGTCAAGAATGCACACACAGTTCAAAGACTATTAATTTTCCAATACAAAATTGGCCTGGCCGGAGTAAATCCACCCAGACTGGATAGGTTCAAAAAGAGAATTACTTGCCCAAGCGTGCCCATTTTGTTTCCCTTCGAAGTCGGTCGAGCCTGGCCAGGCCTAAGCAAGCCAAGCGGGCTGCCATGGTAACCTCTACTTCAGAGGCTTTCTGCCCTGATGATAATTACTTGGTTACAGTGGGGGGAAGTTAGAGGTGGTAAATGGGTCAAGAACCCATATATTAACCTAAATTTAATAATTGTGGATTATAAATGGGTTGGGTTTAGTTTTAAAAATAGACTTAAATGGGTCATTAATATGTTGCTTATTAACTTAATGGGTCTTAAATGGGTTCCCCAATAAGCTTAAGTGAAATTTTCTATTTTTTTTAAAAATTTTTGATTTTTATAATTTTAATATCCTTTTTATTCTTTTTTCTTTTATTCTTTTATTCTTTGCAAGGCTTCACCAACCTCTCGAGCTCCCCCGAGGCTGGCTATCTCGAGTCTCACCAGAGGCCGGTGAGCTTTTCCCTCCCCTATGTGTGGCCGGCCGTCGTCATGGCCTACCACCGGTGGGGGAAGAAGAAAAAAAATAAAATAAAAGTAATTAAAATATGATTTTTTAAATAAAAATATTAAAATGAGTACACAAAAGAAAATATGATTTTTCATACCAGAGGGTAAAAAATATTTTCTAGTTCATTTTCACGTTTCGCCAAATATCGGAAAATATTGTCATTTTCCTAAAGACATTTTCCAAAAATGTTATATTTTCTACGAAATAAACGGAGCCTCAATTTTTTTTAAAATATTTGTATTGCATGAAAATGTTTTACCAATACAATTTTTTAAAATAATTATCAGAAATAAGTTTTTCTAGATTTAGTTAAATGGGTCGGGTCGTGTCGGGTCGGATCGGATTTGGGTCAAGATTCTAAAGCATCGGTTTCTTTTGGTTTAGGATGATTCTAAAGCATCTTGGGCGTATGTCTAGGATGATTCTAAAGCATCGGTTTTTTTTTGTAGGAAAAAACCCTAATCACGATTGGAGAATTTGGAGAAGATTTTCAACGAACGAAACCGATCAACTCGTAGCCCTCGATTTCACGAATAACTTATTAAAATTTGAGCGAATTTCGACATTGTTGGGCCTTCGAAATGGGACCGCAAAATTCAGCCCCTTTACTTCCTTTCCCTCCCCATGTTCTCTCGGTGAGCTCGCGGTAAAAACTCACTTTTTCTCTCTCCTGTGGCGCCCTCACACCGCACAAAGCAGCAGCCCCCTTTCTTTGTTTGGTTTTGACTTTTTCTCCTTTTTTTATTTTGTTTTTGTTTTATACTAACTGGGTCCCACATAAGGTGGACCCAGTCAACATGAATGAAGGGGAAAAAGACAGGCATCTATCTACGCATTTCCATTGTTTCGTCTTTTTTCCCTTCACCTTTCGGATGCAAAAAGAAGGCAAACCGTGTTTGCTTTTTGAGACGTTTGCACGTTCTTGCAAAAGATGGTCTTAAGCCTAATAATGCAAGCGGTAGCATTATTATATTGCAAGTTGAACCATTATTAGCTCCCGAAGTAGCTATCTATAGATACATAGAGAAATGATTAAGTAATCGTCATTTATTTACCGTGAGACTGACTGCCTATTCTTGATCACAGAAGATTGATTCTAAAAGTTACACATATGCACTAATCATTCTCCTAGCGAGATTACTTTTCTTGCACACTCCATTCCTTTGGTTTCTAGTTTTAGAAATTTTTTAACTGGAACTAAGAATTTCACCGACGCTTTTCGCCATTGTTTTGTTCAAATAAAGAAGTAGATTCACATGAAATAAGATATGATACGACACATAATTTATACCAAATTCTAATTTTACACGAAAGAAAATGGTCGCATGTTGAGATGCACGCGTGAGCTCAATGTTAGAGAAGTCCCACATCGGAGAATTAGTATGGTGTTGGGCAGTTAATATATCTTAGTTGAATCATAACTCATTTGCTTAAGCTTTTGAGTGAAGATGGGTCCAACTGGATATGTTGACGGGCTCGGATTTAAGCTCCCTCTTGGCGATCTCCCTCGGTAAAGGTATCGGGTTTTTGTTGTGCGCTCCTAACAAATGGTATCAAAGCCAATGGTTGGTAGGTGGCCCACTCCCAATGTGTGTCGGTGTTTGGTGAATATCTCAATAAATGAATCTGGTGACGAACTCGATTTTTGGGCGAGCGGCGTGTGACGATTGTTAGTACATGCCATTACAGATTATTTATATGATTCACTGGACAAATTGCACTCCTAATGTATGATCATTAGAGTCCAATTTACATGGAAGTGAGTCTAGTTATGACCAATTAAATTGGCGCCAGGGCTGGTCATCAGACCGGGAATGCCACAACGCCGCATGCCACGCCACATGTTTCCCCACCGCTATGCCAAAGGGCACCACCAGCCCACCATTGTTATCCAAGCTTGGACACATGTCACCTCATCCAAGCCACAATTGGGACCTCATGCGTGAAGGGCTGCTGAAGATTAAAGATCTCTCTCTTCTCTCTCGGCAAACTTTCCCCCACACCCTCTCACTCCCGATTACTGCATTTCAAGAGAGAACACCATAATTCTCTTGTTTTTTTCGACAAGTCTGTTGGTGGCAAGAAGATTCAAGAGAACCCGCGGCAAATTCTCTTACGGTTCGACTTCCAGGCAAGTGAAACTCTAATTTCTAGACTCCTTGATCTTCTTGTGGCTCGGTTCGAGGATTTGCAGATGTAGTAGTTCACGGCCAACCGAATTGAAGACGGTTCGATGAAATTGCAGTGTAGTTCAGTGCTTAAATCGCTTAGAAAACATGAGATCGTTGTCCTGGGCACGTGAATATTGATGTACCTTCTTGGATTGGATGATTTATGAGGATGATATCTTCGGAAAGTCTGAATCGGGATGAACCGGGAACGTCTGCCATGACAGATTATTTATATGATGATTCACTGGATAAATTGCGATCCCGATGTATGATCATTAGAGTCCAATTTATATGGAAGTGAGTCTAGTTAGGACCAACTTGTCACCAGGGCCGGTCATCGGACCGAGAACGCCACAACGCCGCATGTTTCCCCACCGCCACATGCCACGCCACATGTTTCCCTACCGCCATGCCAAAGGGCACCACCAGCCCACCATTGTCATCCAAGCTTGGACACATGTCACCTCAACCAAGTCACAATTGGGATCTCATGCATGAAGGGCTGCTGAAGATTAAAGATCCCTCTCTCTTCCTCTCTCTCTCTTGGCAGACTTTCCCCCTCACCCTCTCACTCACGGTTACTCCATTTCAAGAGAGCACCAGAATTCTCTTGTTTTTTACGGCAAGTCTGTTGGTGCCAAGGAGATTCAATAGGACCCGCGGCAAATTCTCGTACGGTTCGACTTTCAAGCAAGTGAAACTCTAATTTCTAGACTCCTTGATCTTCTTGTGGCTCGGTTCTAGGATTTGTAGAAGTAGTAGTTCACGGCCAACCGAATTAAAGACGGTTCGATGAAATTACGGTGTAGTTCAGTGCTTAAATCGCTTAGAAAACATAAGACTGTTGTCCTGAGCACATGAATATTGATGTTCCTTCTTGGATTGGTTGATTTATGAGGATGGTATCTTCGGAAAGTCTGAATCGGGATGAACTGAGAACATCTGAACTGCTGTTCTGAATTCGAAGCTGCCTGATCATTGTTGTTTACTATTTTGTGTGGTTCTTTATGTTCCGAATTTTGAGACACTTCCTTCATGAGAGTTGTGCTCAACATCTTGAACAATAACATATTTTAATTTCAGAATTTTGGAGTAGAATTGGTCAGTACGTTGCCCTTGAGTATTACTGGTTTTTACTGGGTCACTACAGGATAAGCTACGACCTTTACTTAATTCTGATTTTCTTAAAAATTCTCCAATTCGAATCCTGGTATACTTCCTTCACAAAAGTTGTTAAATACATCCATTTCTACAACATAAAAAAATTTCAAAGCTTTTGGAGAAGGTATGACTTGCGAAATGAGTATCTTTTAAGTGATATCTGTTCTAGCGGACTGATTTTGGTCTGTTTTTGAGTAACAAAAAGACATGATTAAAAAATGAACTAGGCTTTGTGTTACGCATAATAAATTTTTATCAAAGTATTTCCTATAACATACTTAAATTTCAGAATTTTTGGGGTTCATTTACTATATTTTTAGAATGGATTTTGGCTACTATGCAAGACTGCGCAGATTTACCCAATTACAAAGATACACTATCTTCTATGTGAAAACGTTCAAAACTTGATTTGATGTCTTCTGGAGATAAAACATACACACTTTGAGCTTTCCAATGAGGTGTGAACAGTCTTGATATGAGGTCAAATGATGAGGCAAATAGGATCACCTATGTGATGCCAGATTCTGAAAATATTGGTCATAAATGCCTAGTGTGTGATAGTTAGATGTTAAATTGTTTTTTTGGCATATGTTATTCATTGTTCCTGTGAGATATGATGAATCGCATGGTGTGAAATGATTTTGTTGTGCATGTATAAAAGAAAGTGCATGAGTTGTTTGATATGAAGCTACCATAAGAAATGTCCATCGGTCTTTGCGCCAATGATGCCCCGGAGGAGTTGGGATGCCCTTGTGCTGTGTGTCTGGGATGCCTCGAAGTGAGCTGCCTATGACTAGTGAATCACAGAAGTCCGATCAATAAACCGGAAGTGACCCACACAGCCCAGACAGTATACTGGTTGAAGAGTGAGATGGGTTGTGGATTAAATGACATGAAGAACATTAAAATGAACTTGTGAAATGTATGTGCACTTGACATTGCATATACATATATTCATTGAATGCTGCGCTCATGTTATATATTGTGCTTGACTTTTCATGACTACCTTGCATGTTAGGCCGTTCTAGAATCAAATAATAGGTGGATCAGGTAGTCTATAAGTTAGAACTTTCATTGCTGAGCTTTGCTCCCTTGTTGTTGAAATTTTTTTTTCTCAGATAGCTAGTCATGGCTGCTTTGCCTGCTATGTCTATTGCTCGATATGGAGTATCTATAAATTTTGAGAGCTTGTTTGATGATTTCAATGATACCGCTTTCCCTAATATCATTTTTACGAAGTGTATGTTAGTTTTGTGGGTTGATGTAGGGCAAGTTTCGGAGAGTATTGCCTATCGTTTTGTGGCAGTATTCGTGAGGCTTGACGAGCGTCTTTTGGGCTCGATACCGTACCCACCTGACAGTAGCAGTGACGACAACAGTGGCAGTGCGTAGGGGAGAGTAGTGATAGGATGAGTAGCTGTACAGTCGGTCCATTTTGTCCATTTTTGGTGGTATGGTCATTTCTTTTCGGGGACGACCGTGAGAAGGGCTTTTGGCTAACTACACTAGAAATATGAGTGGATGGCACCTTTTGGCCTCTTATGTGTAGTTGATGTATAAATGGCTTGTACTTACCCTCCCAGGAGATATAAAGGAATGATGTTAATATACTTCTTAATCGGGATCCTTTGTAAATTACAAAATTATGTCTAATTGCATAATTCGTGTCATATATGCTTTGCAAGGGACATTGCCTTCCACTTGCATTTGTATCATAACAGATTAAAGAAGATGCGTTAGTAAGTGGCGCCCTAAGACGATAGAGCCTCTGGGCCTTCATGGTTCAATCTAGAGAAAAAGTGGGAGGGCAGGGCGGCCTTCATGGTTCAATATGGAGAATATGGAGAAAGAGATTAGGGTTGAAGGTGGGCATTGATGGACATTCAAATTGAGAAATGTTGGTGTAGATTTCTCACGTGAGCTAACTGTTAAAGAAGTCCCACATCGGAGAATTTGTATGATATTGAGCAGTTAATATATCCTAGTTGGCTTATAATTCATTAACTTAAACTTTTGAGCGAAAATAGGTCCGACTGGATATGTTGACGAGCTTGGACTTGGGCTCCCTTTTGGCCTCTTCTGGTGAAGGAACCTGGTTTTCGAGCGGTGGGCGTTGTGGTGTAGCAACGCGGTTCTGATAACAGTCTTCATGGTTCGGTCTAGAGAAAGAGACTAGGGATGAAGATGGGTGTTGATGGAAATTCAAATTGAGATATGTTGGTGCACATGCACGCGTAAACTCAGTGTTAGAGCATCGAAAAGTTAGTATGGTGTTGAGCAGTTAATGTATTTATCCTAGTTAGCTCATAACTCATTGGTTTAATCTTTTGAGTGAAAGTGGATCTAACTGGATATGTTGATGGGCTCGGACATGGGCTCCCTGTTGACAGTCTCCAAAATGAAGGTATCGGGCTTCTTCTGCGCGCTTCCAACATCGCGCTCGTTGCAACTAATTCGTATTTACATTGTCGAGACCCTTTCAATTCATGTGGTGAATTTCGTAAACTTACTCTTCGCGAGAGATTGCTGTGTCTATCATACACTTACCAATTTTATCCCAAAAAGAAAAACCCATTTAGTATTTGCTCCCACCACTATTCATCGTGTCGACACCAGCCTTAGACCAACTCTCTTTTAGTCACCACCATTGACACGGGTGAAGCCAAATTTCTTTTATTAAGGGTTTTTTTTCTTTTCTATTAATTTTGCTTTTAGGTTGAAGGCTACATTTTATATCAGCTATTGATATATGCTAATCATCAAGCGCTGAGAAGAAAATAGAGAGAAAAGAAAATAGAGAAGAAAAAGTGAGTTTTTCTTTGTGAGTGTTCTCAATCTTTTTGTGCTCTGATCTTGAGAGAAGATTGCCATTATACTCTTACTTTTTTCGAAGTCTAGTGGAATTGCAGAGTGCTTCTGCACGGAAACGTAGCCCGGGTTTGGATAAACTTCAATAACAAATTCTCTAGTGTGTTTTTCCAATTTTGTTATTTTATTATTATATTCTGCCTAAGTGGATTCTTTACTTGTGTTTTTTTTTCTAAAATTGGTGTGCGATTCCCACAACACTCCCTCTCTCTCCAAATGAAAGCGATAGAGGTAGTGGTCATGGTGGCGATAGAGTCATCATGCTAAGCAATCGCAAGTGCGAGTATTAGTGGCGGTTGCTCTTAATAAGAAATGAAATGCTACAAAAGTAAAGTAAATTTAATGTGGCATATCCCGGCTGTTAATTAAATTATCCACCCAATGCATTGTCTTCTTAAATAAGATACTGAACCACCTAAGTTCTAATACAAAGATGGAATTCCCAATTCAAAAATTGTGATTTCTAAGATTGAGCTAACAACTCACTAAACTCAATCACATATATTTAATTTATTTGTTTTTTATTATCTCTTATTTTGTTTTCATTCTGTAAACAGACACATGTGCATGCATATTGTTAGAATATTTAAATATTAAATCATACTTTTATCTAATAGTTTAAATTTTTAGAACTGTTGACAGTGATCCCACAAAATCTCACATGGCATCGGAGCATAAGATCTCGAGTTTAAATCTTTCAAAGCCCCTATCACTTTAAGTTTTGGTCAAAGTTCAGCCTAGAGCCTACACGTGAGAGGTTTGGAACAATTGGCAATTCAATGAAACTCCACTCATCCTTTCAACTTTGCAGTTGATCTTCGTTATATGGAATTAGAGCATCCAAAATACTCAAGTGAGTAACGATCCCATCATAGCCGAAAATATTACTCAGGTAAACTTTCTTGCTTTCTCCCTCCACTAATGCCAAAAGGCCGACACTAAGGGTGCGCATGATAACCATTCTGTTTCAGAATGAGTTCCTGAAACAGAAATAAATTTTTCTATTTCTGGTTCCAGAATGAGTTTCTGAGAAAAGAAACCCATTTGATAAAGATCAAAAATTTCTATTTCTGGAACAGAAACCCGTTTGATAACAGCACAAAATTTCTATTTCTTAAAACAAAAACCCGTTTGATAAACAACACAAAATTCTATTTCCAGGAACAAAAATCTATTTTTTTAGAAATGGAATAAAAATAATTAGAAAATCCAAAATATTCCTAAAAATTCAAAAAAATTCAAAAAAATTGAAAAATTCTAGAAAAATTCATCACAATTTTCAAAAAATTAAAAAAATTCAGATTTCGGGAAAATAGGAAATTTGTTGAATTTTTTCAAAAAAAATCAAAAAATTCAAAACTTCATAGAATGACTTAAAATACACTGTGGCCACCCACTTTTAGTGAAATTTAAATTTTTTAGGTGCCCAAAAAAAATCAAAAATCAAAAATTTCAAAACTTAACGGAATAGTTTAGAATACATGTGGCCACCCACTTTAAGTGAAATTTAAATTTTTAAGGTGCCCAAAAAAATTCAAAAACTCAAAATTTCAAAACTTTACAAAATGGGCAGAATACACATTGTGTGCTTTGAGTGAAATTTTAATTTTTGAGGTGAAAAAAAAAGCAAAAAATCAAAAATTTCAAAATTTCACAAAATGACTTAGAATATTTGTGGCCACCCACTTTGAGCGAAATTTTAATTTTTTTATGTGCCAAAAAAAAATAAAAATAAAAATAATCAAAAATTTCAAAATTTCACAGAATGACTTAGAATGCCTCTAGCCACCCACTTTGAGTGAAATTTAATTTTTTTTAGGTGCCCAAATGGTATTTTTTTATTTTTAATTTTTTAATTTTTTTTTCGGCACCTAAAGAAAATTAAATTTCACTCAAAGTGGATGGCCACATGTATTCTAAGCCATTCTGTGAAGTTTTGAAATTTTTGATTTTTTGCTTTTTTTATTTTTTTGGGCACCTAAAAAAAAATTTCGCTCAAAGTGGGTGGCCACAGGTATTTTAAGCCATTCTGTGAAGTTTTGAAATTTTTGCTTTTTTTCTTATTTTTATTTTTTTTGCACCTAAAAAATTAAATTTCGCTCAAAGTGGGTGGCCACATATTCTAAGCAATTCTGTGAAGTTTTGAAATTTTTTTTTAATTTTTTCGGCACCTAAAAAAATTTAAATTTCTCTCAAAGTGGATGGCCACACGTATTCTAAGCTATTCTGTGAAGTTTTGAAATTTTTTATTTTTTGCTTTATTTTCTTTTTTTCGGCACCTAAAAAAAATAAAATTTCGCTCAAAGTGGGTGGCCACAGGTATTTTAAGCCATTCTGTGAAGTTTTGAAATTTTTTCTTTTTTACTTATTTTTATTTTTTTTGGCATCTAAAAAAAATTAAATTTCGCTCAAAGTGGGTGACCACATGTATTCTAAGCCATTCTGTGAAGTTTTGAATTTTTTATTTTTTTATTTTTTCGGCACCTAAAAAATTTAAATTTCACTCAAAGTAAATGGCCACAAGTATTCTAAGCCATTCGTGAAGTTTTGAAATTTTTATTTTTACTTTTTAAATTTTTTTCGACCTAAAAAAAATTAAATTTCGCTCAAAGTGGGTGGCCACAGGTATTTTAAGCCATTTTGTGAAGTTTTGAAATTTTTACTTTTTTGCTTATTTTTATTTTATTTGTCATCTAAAAAAAATTAAATTTCGCTCAAAGTAGGTGGCCACAGATATTCTAAGCCATTCTGTGAAATTTTGAAATTTTTTATTTTTTTATTTTTTCGCACCTAAAAAAATTAAATTTCGCTCAAAGTGGATGGCCAAGTATTCTAAGACATTACGTGAAGTTTTGAAATTTTTTATTTTTTGCTTTTTTAGTTTTTTTTTCACCTAAAAAAATTAAATTTCGCTCAAATTGGGTGGCCACAGGTATTCTAAGACATTCTGTGAAGTTTTAAAATTTTAGATTTTTTGATTATTTTTTATTATTTTTTTCATCTAAAAAAAATTAAATTTCGCTCAAAGTGGGTGGCCTTAGGTATTTTAAGCCATTTTGTGAAATTTTTTATTTTTTATTTTTTATTTTTTTTATTTCTTTCGGCACCTAAAAAAATTTAAATTTCGCTCAAAGTGGGTAGCCACAGATTCTAAACCATTCTGTGAAGTTTTGAAAATTTTGATTTTTTGCTTTTTTTTCCCACCTCAAAGATCGTGACTTCTAGATAAACATGTGTTTTGAAGAAAGAGTTCTCTAAAAAATGATTCTCATTTTTGGTCTAGAAATAAAAAACCTACTTTTTTTTTTATTCTAATTTCTGGTTCAGAATCGGTTCTGGAACAAAAAGTTGTCCCGGAAATAGAAAAATGATATTGCGTTACCAAACGGGTTTCTGTTCCAAAACTGTTTCTAAAAACAGAAAACTTGCTTTCTCCCTCGACTAATGCCAAAAGCTCGACACTAATTGCCATCAATGCAGCCGTTCAACTCCCCGTCAAGCGCTCGCCATCCAACTACACTTCATGGAGTACCCAGTTCATGTCCTTGCTCGTGGGTTATGATCTTTTGGGCTACATCGACGGCTCCCTCCCACAAGCATTCATAACAAAAATTTGTTCGAGCAACCCCGGGAGACTGGTAAAAGATAGATTCGATTTATCTACATATATGTTTTTACAAATTTTTTTATTTATTTTGGTTCGCTTTAATTTGTTTGAATGAAATTTGACAGAAGATATAACAAAAAATATTACTTCGCTTTTGCGATTGCATGTAGTTTATAAGTTAAAAATGTAAATAAACAGCTTCTTCATTACCCTTTTAAAGAAGCAACCTAAGTCACATCATATGAAGCAATGACTTGATCCGAGCACTTGGTGCATTGTATGTGAAAAGCCAAGGATACGATTGACTTCATAAATACGATATAATTACATATGTATCTATCTCTTTGAAATTTTTTGCGTGAAGAAACAAATCAATTGTCTCGTTTCTGCACTCAATATATAGTAGTCAATTTTACTACATTAGATACTAGATTAAAGTATTAATACCATAAAAAATCTCAAACTGGTACACTCGTGACATATGCACCCAAAACCAATTTTCGTGTCACAAAAAACCCAAACCGGTACACCCATGCCCCATTAATCCTAAATTAATTTCCGTATCACAAAAAATCTCAAATATTTGGGTAAATGTGGTACAGATATATCGGTTTGAGGTAAATCTGACACGGGTGTACTGGTTATTATAATTGTACCAATTTGAGATTTTTTGTGAAGCAAAATTTACTATTTCTTTGGGGTTTTTTTCGTGGTAATAGTTCTAACATTAAATTATATTTAGAGCTTTTAGGATTTTGGGCCCGGTGAATTGCTCATAGTGGGCCCATTCGCAAGCCCACTTGGATAATGGGCCTTTCCCTAAATTTCTGGGCTTAACAAATTCCCATGTTCTCTTCACATTCGGCGCGACAGTGCCCTTTGTTTGGACGGCGACATTCTCGAAAGCGGCGCGCCGGATATCGCATCTCCGGTCGCTTTCTTTTTTATTTCTTTTTTGGGGGGATGGTCATCTCCAGTAGCTTTCGTGAAACTGCTTTTGACCCTCTTTTGGACTCCTCACGCTTCTTTTGTTTCTCCTTTTGTCTTTTTCTTTTTTCAGCAGCTCATTTCTTCTTCTTCTTCTTCTTCTTTTTTTTGGCCCATCCGACCTGGAAAATCTCGCCATTTTTTTCCCTCCCGCGCTTTTGCAGCGGACAAAAACGACGCCGTTTCGGTCGTTTCGAGTGGAGAAAAAGGCGCCTGTTTTTGCGCATCCGAAGGAAAAGAAGATGAAGAAGACGACATCATCATTGTTTAACAGTGCAAATTTATGGGTGCAATGTCTGCTCAGCAAATTGAGCCCCAAAGAAACGGCAAGGAAAATTTTAAGGAGAGCAGAACACTTGTTAGGATTCATTAGTTTTGTTTTTTTTCTTAAATTTAATTTTTTTATATTTGGAATCAGTGAGTTTTTTTTTAAAGTGTCAATCTTTTAATTTCCAATATGTGGTGATATGCCTCGTTTTTATCGAGTTTAATAATGCCCTTAAAACACCCGTTAATTGGAAAAAAGCCATTCCTTACCATTAGAACTAACCCTTTTCTCTTCTTTCCAATCATAGGATTATCGAGGAAACAACACGTAAAAAGGTGAGAATTTTCGTAGGAGCAATGAAAGAAAAGGCTTGCTTATTCCGATGCGTTTGCAATGACTTTTGCTTTTGACTTTAGAATTTTGATAATTAGATTTGACTAAGCAAATCTCAAGAATAAGTATAGAAATAGATACCGACTGAAGTTAGGTAAAATTTTTCCGATATTTTTATAGAATTCAAAATGATGTTTTCATTTTAATTTTAAAATAAAACCAAAACGAATGGACTTCGTTTTTAGTTTTTATTCATGCTTCGTGGATGAAATCTCATTTAGCAAAACCAATCCATGCATAAAAAGAGGGGAAATTTTCAATTAAGGACCCAAAATGGGGTCAAATTCTCAAAAAAGGATCCAAAGTGGACATAGTGTTAAATAAGGGCCTGAAGTCCCTAATTAGTCTCAAGTAAGGGCTTAGGTTCGCCGGCTGGTCAAATGTTCAACTGTCGATAAGCACGTTACTGTTTTGATCACCGGAACAGTAATTTTTTTAAAATTTTAAAATTTTTTTCTTTTTTTTTTCCTTTTTCTGTTTTTTTTTTTTTCTTTTCCTTTTCCTTTTCTTTTATTTTTTCCTCTCTTCCCTCCGCCGACCATAGCCGGGACAGGCGGAGGTCATCAGCCTCAGGCGGAGGCTGCCCTCGCCGGCATCGAGCAAGGGCCGCCCTTGCCTGGGCTGGTGAGGGTTGCCCTCACTAGCGTCGGGCGACCCTCGCCCAACCTTGGGTCACCCTCGCCGACGTCGGGCGAGGGCCACCCTCGCCTGGGCTAGGCGGGCGAGGGCAACCCTCGCCAGATCCGGCAAGGGCGACCCTCACCGGTATTTGGCAAGAGCCGCCCTCGCCGAATCTGGCGAGAGTCACCCTTGTCCGCCCAGCCCAGGCGAGGGTAGCCTCCGCCAGCCTTGGCTAAGGCCGGCAAAGGGAAGAGAGGAAAAAATAAAAGAAAAGGAAAAGAAAAAAACATAAAAAAGAAAAATTTTGAAAAATTTTAAAAATTACTGTTCCGGCAATCGGAACAATAACGTGCTTGCCTACCGGTGAACATTTGACCAACCGGCAAACCCAAGCCCTTACTTGAGATTAATTGGGACTTTGGGTCCTTATTTGAGACTGATTGGGCATTTCAGACTCTTATTTGATACTATGTCTACTTTGGATCATTTTTTGAGAATTTGACCCCACTTCAGGTCCTTAATTAGAATTTTTCCTAAAAAGAGGGAACTAAGAAAAAAAAGGAAAAGAAAAGCAAAGCCGAAAAAAGAAACAGCACGCATTTTTTGTTCTTCTCTTTTTCGAGACCCACGAACTTTGCCAGTTGTACCATCAGGGTCATTCCACGAGAAGACAGCCTAAAAACAGCTGAAAAAAAAGGGCGGGAGTTTAATCAAAAAAAGAAAAGAAATTAAAATACGAGGATCGTTGATTTTTTATTAACGAGGGTCACTCAATATATTACACACTTAGCATATATAATAAAAAAAATATCATCATTTTCTATAACATTCATTATCACACACCATTAAAAAAATTCTGCATTAAATTTTTCCTTGATTTTTTTTATTGGACAAGACTCGCTTGTTAATAAGTCTAAAAAGAAAGAGGAAATATAAATTTCGTAGGCTAAAAAGAGAAAAGCCAAATGTAAAAAAAAAAAAAAGAGAAAATGAAAGGGATAATAACATGAATAGTCCCTGAATTTTCGCTTTGGTTCTTGAATTTTTAATTTATTCAATATGATCCTTACATTTTTTGTACATTTTCAATTTAGTCCCTGAACTATCCATTAATTAAAGTTCAATGACTACATTAGTTCAGTGACTATATTGAACATGTAGTAATTTAACAAATTAAAATTTCAAAAATTATATTATGCATTAGACCAAAATTCAGGGATTATGTTAAATAAATTATAAATTTATGGATTATTGGATTAGGGACTGTTTGTTATTTTCCCAAAATAAAAATAAAAATAACGAGACCATCAACATCGCCAGAAGCACAGGGAGCGAGACAATTGGAGCCTGTACGTCCGTACCAGTGTCAGTTCTTGTCCTCCACCCTCGTCACCTCAAACAGCTTCACTGTAAATTACGCACGCAGAGAAAAATAGAGAGAGAAGAGAGACAGAGAGAGAGAGAGAGCTCGTCCACCTGTCCTCCGACTCTCCAGCAGCGCACCCTCCCCTCGCCGAGAAAAGAGCGAAAAAGGAAAGGCAACGAGAGCGAGAGACAAACATCGGCGATCCCGAGCTGCTGCTTCGCTGTGAATCGCGCCACGGCTCGGGCCGCATCTTTGCCATTCCTCGGGTGCCGTCTCGTCCAACATTCGCCCTGCCCTCCCCGGTGTCCCTTTCCCCGCAGCCCGAAGATCACAGAGAGAGAGAGAGAGAGATCGAGAGAAGCTCCTTCTATTTCCATTTCCGGTCGAGCTCTCTCGATCCGTGCCATCGGAGGACGAACTTCTCCATCGCCGCGGCGATTGACGCGTCCTCGATTCCTTTCTCTCTTCATCCCGCCCTCCTCCTCCTTTTGGACCTCCAGGTAACGCGGCGGTGTGAGGCTCTGCTTTCGATTCGTTCCGTTTCGGCGCTTTAGATCTCTGCTTTCGAGGACGCGGCTGCGGTGCGGATTGCGGCTGACGTCGGGAGCTTCTTTCGATTCCGGCGCGCGTTTTTGTAGATCGGAAAGGAGGCGGAGCGCGTCCGGAAACTCTGCGCGGAGCGTGTTCCTGAGGACGCATTCGGTTGCCGAGTGCGCGGCGGGCGGCGCGCGTAAGAGAGGGGGGAGGAAAGACAAAGGTAGGAGGAGGAGATCGAATGCGGTGGACATAATGCAGGATAGAATGTATGCCAACGCGTTGCCTCCTCATGTTTCCGATTCTGATCGGCGGATCATCGACGGCGGGCCGTCGTTACGTGTGTATCAAACTTGGAATGGAAGCAATGTGAGCTCATCCTCCATGCTATTTTGTTGAATTTGCTTCTGAAGTCTCGTTATCTGCACTTTGGTAGACAATAGTTTGTGCTCTATTACCTGCCATCGTATATTATTTCTATAATTATAGGGGCTTCTGCATGTTGACGAAACGAAACCTCTGTTGAACTGTGCTGGCAATTATGGAGGAAGTGAGGAACTTTTAGTTTTCGAACCTGCAAAAGCAGTTCAATAGTACTCTGTTGTTATGGTAACTTGGAGTATTCGTCTTCGGGAGCCCGGAGAGTGTTTTTGAGAAGAAAACTTATCAATTCACGGTGCACGTGGGTCTTCTTTTCCATCTCTGGCATGTTTTTCAACAATTAGAGGTTTGGAAAGTGGAATTTTGTCGATAAAGCATAGGCAGTTTATGTTATCTTCATGTAACCATCATGGAATTGTATCCTTGTTTCCTTAAATGGTGGTACGGAAAGAATTATAACTCGGAGGATAGTAACTCTGAATTATTTATTAGCCGTACCCACAGAAACTTCGGTGCTGTGCCAGGTGGCACAGAAGATCGGAAGATAATGCCTGACTGGCTAGACCAGTCGATCCATATATGGTTTGCCATCCCGTGTAATTCATGGAGTAGTTTTAATTTGGCCTCCACAACTGTTGCTTCAAGCTACAATTCAGTAATGATATATACGTTCCGCATTAAATTTTTATAGCTGCATCTCAGGATTACAACGAGGCTTTTGGCATTACTCCTAATTTTACTTATCTTTAGCGGGAACTCCAGATAGAATATTCATATGATTGCATAAACTATAATACTCGACTTTTTTTAATTGATAATTTAATGATCATAGGACCTGAAAAATTAGTGAGACAACACAAGGATGCGAATATTTTCCGTTGGCTACTTTCACTCTGAGTCCTTTTATTTATTTCGCTCTTGGAGATACTTGGCGGCTGTGCATCAAACACATCCACATGATTCTCAAGCCAAAAGTTTAACTGCTTCACTTAGATGTTTTGCAGAGATTTTGCTGTGGAGGCAGACTTATATTTGGCCCAGATGCAAGGTCACTATTCCTGACGGTGCTCTTAATTGTGACTCCAGTTATTCTGTTTTGCACCTTTGTCTCGCAAAGGCTCTTTCACGAGTTCGATGACCACATAGGCTATTTAATCGTGGCTATAAGTGCCATCTTCACACTATACGTGAGTACTTATGCACTGAATTCATTGCTTGCTCTCCTTTGAATATGAAGCCGGATATTTTCAGGTCCATTTTGCAAGAAAGATCAACATTGAAATTCTTCCATGAAATTTCATTTTGTTGGCAATTGAATGACAGTAAGAGTAATTTTTGAATATGAAATCTCAAGATGACACCAGTAAGGCTCGCTGAAACTTAAGAATAACGTTCATTAGTTTGATAATTACTAAATGAGGATCATATTTAGTTTAACTAGATGATGGATGGAATGGGTCATCTTACAGATTCTCTTACTGAATATGCTCTCATAACTGAAATGGCCTATATTTTCATTATTTAATACTTTTCAGCATTTGATCGACTTGTTAAACTGCAGATTGTCATCCTCCTTTTCCTCACATCAGGAAGAGATCCGGGCATTATTCCTCGTAATCTACACCCTCCAGATCCAGAGGATGAAGCTGATGGCTCCAATCTATCTGCAGATTGGCCTGTAAGTAGGATCGGTGGTCCTAATCTGCCACCCACAAAAGATGTTACTGTCAGGGGAATGGTAGTCAAAGTCAAATACTGTCAAACATGCATGCTATATCGTCCACCAAGATGCTCTCACTGCTCAATATGTAATAACTGTGTTGAACGGTTTGATCACCACTGTCCGTGGGTGGGACAATGCATTGGGAAGGTACGCTTTATTTGGAAGTTGTTGTTCAATTCTTTCACTCTTTTGAATTAGACAAATGAAACTAAGCAAAGAGAATGAATTTATGGTGAAAGAGTGCACTTGTGCCCTCCAATGGTTAAGTTTCATGATAGAAATCAGGTTGATGATTAGTTTAGGTGGTTTGTGAAATTATTTTCTTATGGTATTCTGCTAGCTCTCCGCATTTGAGATGCCTTTGTTCTTTTAGTATAACTGACATATCAACTGCTTTTTTCTGCAGAGGAACTACAGATTCTTTTTTATGTTCATTTCTTCGACAACAATGCTCTGCCTGTATGTCTTTGCTTTCTGCTGGGTGAACATCAGCAAGATAATGGATGAATATCAGTGTGATCTTTGGAGAGCTCTTGTTAAGTCTCCTACGTCAGGAGTTCTCATAATCTACACATTCATAGCTGCATGGTTCGTTGGAGGCCTCACCGGATTTCATCTTTATTTGATCATAACCAATCAGGTTCCTTTCTCTCTATGCTTACAGATGTTTGGCCTTGCTTTAGCTTTCCTCTTTACATCTGATTACGGAATAATCACTTTTTTTGTGCAGACAACTTATGAGAATTTCCGATATCGATATGATTGCAAGATGAATCCTTATAACCGGGGTTGCGCAGGCAATCTTTGGGAGATATTTTTCTCCAAAATACCTCCTTCCAAAAATAATTTCAGGGCAAAGGTTAAGGGGGAGGCATCTTCTGTTTACAATTCGGTTTCGGCAGGGCCAACCATGAGTCCGGAGATGCCCAAAACAAGCTTTGATGTGGAGATGGGGAAAAGGCAAGCGGTTGCTGCTGAGGATTTGGAAGATATACAGAGCCAGATTGATAGTGTCGGTGGACTTGAGAGATGCGGAACTCTACCCCCTCATACAAAGTGGGATCAAAAGAACAATTGGGAGATCACACCTGACATGAGGATGTTAGCTGCTGAGTTTGGAATGCAATATGGTCCGAGCCCAACTGAAAGAGAGAAAATTCATGGTGACCAATAGCTTTTCTAGTCGAACTCCTGATTTTAGGAATAGGGTTTGTTATTATCTTGTACCAGTACAGATTTCTGCTTAATTAGAAATTATATTCAACAAATTGGCAAACTTTAAGTGAGATTTGGTAATGGATCCTTACCACTTGAAAATTTGTCTGAGAGTGATCTGTCTTAAGCCAAGGGGTTAAATGCTCATCGAACTCCATGAACTCATTGTACCATAGTGCTTTAGCTTTTTAAGATTTTTTTAGATGTCTCTGCTTGCAATCTGTTGGACAATCTTGGCACCTTCAAGTTTTTAATCCTAAGTCCTTTCTTAGTAATCATATGATTGTTGAAGAGGATACAAATGATGCTGGGAATAGAAGGTGCCGCTGCATGATTGTTACAGTGGTGGCTTGGAGTAATTCTCCTTGCATCATTTTCTTTCGAGGTACCTGAAGCCTGCAACTTATTGTAGCGATCATGTGTAGATCAATCAAGGTATCTTTTTTGAATCACGTGCAACAAAGATGGATAATTCATGGGGAGGAGCATGGCTTCATTCATACTTTTTTCATTTTTTGATAGATAACGGTGAAGCTTCATCGTACTTAGTACCTGTAAAGCATGTGATTATGAGGCCTTACTTGCCGTTGAAATGCATTCTTTCATCAACAACAGATTGCACTTACCGAGATGCATATTGGCCTCTAAAAAGTAGTTTTGCTTCTTGTGGAGCATGAAAATCATGATTGGAAAACCGGGATGGTGCTATACGATCTCGTTACTTTCGACGTCGGAAGGGGCTTTGTGCATCTCCGTTCTTCTCAAATTCCGTGTTCTTTCTTGTCTGTCGTAGGAAATCTACTATTCACTATTCAAAGTGCTGGTTTGGTTGTCGACATTAGTTTGTTCCGGTTAAGTATGTCATTTGATAGAAAGAAAAATTCCTTCTGAATACGTAGACAAAGAGCGACCCGACTCATTGCTACTCTTGCCAATATATATGTTACTTCAGAGATAGCCATCACGGAATGTGAACTTTGCTCGTAATTCATTCATCTATCGCGTTTCATTTCTTTACTTATGCATCTAATGTAGCCATCTCAACAGAATTCTATCTCATCCGCTCACGATCTTTCCAATATGTTCTTCGGTCGACCACGAGGATGCACCTGTTTGTCAAGCAATGCTTAGTGCTCTCGCTAGACAATTACATGAACCACATGTATAATGATTTGTTCTCTGGGCAATGAACTCACGACGTATTCATAAAAGACTCGAATTCAGAGATCGATACCTTCCCGACTCGTTTCTAACCAAGCAACTTGGACAAAAACAACCATCTTAGCAGGAACGGAATTACAACATACCGATGCAGTCAGGATGAGGAGGTTGCCGTCCAATTTACAGAGTTGAAGTCCTGTGGAACTCTTATTAGGTGACTCATAAAGTCTAGTTCATCATTACAAAACCCTTCTTCTTTTACACTACAAAGTAACAACATCGTATCAAGAACAATTACAAGATGCCTTTGCTCTCTTGAGCAAGTCATCCGGGAAACACGTAGCTTTTTGGCGTGAACACTCACCCATATTCTATGTTAAAAGGAATGGGCCGTCAACCTCCCTCTCAGGCCTCCGGTTTTTTGCCTGTTGCATTCAAAACGAGTCAGAAAATTGGAAGCCTTCGAGGGAGATTGAAGATCATCCTTTCACTTCAAAGTTTCTTTCAACTCGGCTTGGCCAAACCATACCAACACTCACGGATTTTATATAGGAGCAAAAGCGGGACAAAGAGGAGGCATTTGAACTCGAATCCCTTATCACCTTCTTTATCCACAAGGCACTTGTCTCCATGGACTCGAATTGCGCCACATAAACAAGTTACATATATACGGAATCCATTAATCCATGATACACATGAATGAGTTACCTCCAGTGCCACCCACCAAAGATGGGTATGTCAACTACTTGGCAAGATTCTTCCATCTCAAAGATAGTGCCCGGGATAAGGTTTTGCTTTCTCAGATTTGATGCCTGAATTGATGCCGAATACAATATGGATTGGAGGCAAAAGGGAGTCATAGCTCCAAACAATTTTCCTAAGTTTGTCGAAGTTTGGTTTTCTTGCCGGGATAAAGATGATATTCTTGAGTTGACTTACGGGAAAAACGCGATAACTGTTGAATTAACTGGACTTGACCTGTTCCCCTCCTTCAAAACCCCATTTCTGAGAGGCAATGCTTTTTATATTACTGAATAAGAAGTTTCGGCTACTAAATCGGTTTGAGAACCTCGTTCCTCCACCATTAGCTTTCTATTTCCACACTGTGTGGCAATAATGCAGCAAGAATAGATGCCTTTACTTGTCAACGCTAGATGCAGAGAAAAATGTCTGTAACATTTTCCTAACGTGGATTACATTAATTGAGATTGTTATTACCCGCTTACGGGTTTGGTCTAATAAGTTTGGATATAAGATTTCTTAATTGGTCGGATATGGGCCCGGCTTGTGTGGGCCGAGTTCTGCCCGGCCCGTTATGAGAGGGCCTGGCTGGAAACTCTATAAATAGAGCTGCAGGTCCCTCCTCTGTACCTAACTCTCTCCAATCTCTCTCAAACGCTCTCAAACTCACCTAAGGCTTCCGTGAGTTGGCTGAGGCGGTCTCATAGCGCCGGGACTTCGGGGGTGACAGCGGAGAAGACCTACGGCACCGGTTCATCGTCATTTCCACATCCAGGCGGATGGAATCCAAATCATGTGCACAAATTCTATCCATCCTTTTACCGTACCGTTAATATCTCGCTATGGTGATCCTAGGGCGCTCGGCCGAGCCATACGGGCCGGCCAACATGTGGTATCAGAGCCACCATAGTCGAGAAACATGCCGGTACTGTTCGTAGGTGGTTTTGATTTTTTCATCCGTTGAATGTTAGAATAAATCACATAGATGGATAGATAGTCGAGAGACGAGAAAAATGAGTGGTCGCCGGCCACCAGGGGCCGCCGGAAACGGCCACACGCGCCGCCACGCGCCGGGGCGTCGGAGAGCTCCGGTGGCACATGCACGGCCACACGCGGGTGTTCCCAGGCCCGTGCAACGCACGCGCTAGGGTTTCCGCGAGCCGGGTCGATCCGGTTGACCCGACCAAGACCCGACCCGTTGACCCGACCCAGGGTCCGACCCGTTGACCCGACCCAGGGTCCGACCCGTTGACCCGACCCGGACCAGACCTGTTGACCAAACCGGTCAACCGGTCGGACCGGTAAGCGGTCAGACCGGTCGGCGGTCAGACCGGTCGGACCGGTCGGCGGTCAGACCGGTCGGACCGGCCCTTTTTGGCCGACTTAGGCGCCGGCGCGTGAGGCCCACGCGCTGCACCTTCAGGAGGCGCGTGAGGGCGCGTCCGACCTCCGATTGGGGCGTGCAAGGTACCGGCGTGCTCGTATAAAGATTCTCTACACTTTGGTATATTTATTTTACATGTTTGATACTTTTAAGGATGTGAAAATACATATGGAACCCTATATACGCATATTTTTAGGGTATATTTTCGTATCTTCCTGTATTTCTTTATGGTTTAAGAGATACAGATTAAATCTTACATGTATATGATGACTTAAGGACGTGTAGATCATGTTTCATTGATAGTATGTATAAGGTTCGACATATATCAATGTATAGAGCAATGTATTTAGCATGGTATGTAATTTTAGAGACATTGCCCATGTCTTCCAGTCTAGAATTACATTATAAAGTATATGTGAGACATAAAGTTTATATCCTTAGTATGAGAGAGTTTCAATGATTCAATTTGGTAGTGACCGCCAAAGTGGCACACTTGATTGAGTTTGAGAAATATCAGTCTCGTATTGTTAGGATGTCTCATGTTCTAATGTGTTATTATACTCCCAAAGGAGGTGATTATGTATTGGTTCATGGAGGGATGCATATACAGTTTGCGTGAGGAATGACTGATCCTAATGGTTCATACACCCAAAGGTGGTGAATTCATAAAAGATTGGAATATATTCTCATGGCGGTTGTAATGTAGAGGGTATACAATTGCATATCATGTATTCTGCCCAAAGGTGATTATATGATGATGTGTGTAACTCTCAAGAAAAGTACTCACATGATGTTGATTATAGACATTGCTTGTTTTTAACAGTCACCTTCTCCCTGAACGGCAACTCCATAAGTATTGAGGTTCTTACTGGTTCAAACTTTAAGAAATGGAAAGAGGATTTTATGTTTGGTATGGAACTGGCAGATATTCATATTGCTCTTACTGAGGATAAGCCAGCAGATGTCACTGCTGAAAGTACGGACATAGAAAAGGCACTGAGTGCCGCCTGGGAAAAGAGCAATAGGATTTGCTTGTTACTGATGAAGCGATCCATTAAGGACCACTTGAAGAGTAGTTTGCCAGCTGACTGCACTGCTAAAGAAATGATGGAAACCTTGCAAGCAAGAAACCGTGACTCGTCTAATGCTGAGGCTGGGACATACATGCAGTTACTCAATAATATGAGGTATGATGGTTCAAGTGGGGTTAGGGATTACGTCCTTAGGATGGTAGACCTCCAGACAAAACTAAAGGTTCATGAGATTATCCTTTCTGATGCTTACATTGTGCATCAAGCCCTGAACACCCTTCCTACTGAGTTTGGAATTATAAAGACCAACTATAATTTCCAAGATGAAAAGTGGTCGGTCAATGACCTGATAGTTAGGGTTGTGGTAGAGAAGAGAAACTAAAGAAAGATAAAGGGAATCTTGCTTTCTATGCCTCTAGTTCCAGTAGCAGGAAGAGTAGTAAGTTCAAGAATCGTACTCAGAAAGGAACTCCTGAAACCACCGGTCATTTAGACCATCTGGGTCCTGAGAAAACACCCTTGAAGAAGAATGGTGTTCACTGCTACTTTTGTAGGAGGAAGGGTCACATGAAGAAAGACTGCAATAGATATAAAACTTGGTTATCCAAGCGTGAGCAGTCAGGTATTAATTATTTGGCACTTGTTTGTGAATCCAACCTATTAGAAGCTCCATCCAATTCTTGGTGGCTAGATAGCGGTGCAACTAATCATGTTACGTATACCATACAGGGATTCACAAACAAAAGGAAGCCAAATCAGGATGAATTAAAGCTCACTGTAGGAAACAACAAGAGAGTCGACGTCGAGTTCGTGGGAGATGTCATATTAATTTTGGATTCTGATTTTAATATGATGTTAAGAAACACCTTTTATGTGCCTTCCTTCAGACGGAACTTAGTTTCCGTATCAAGTTTGGATGTTTGTGGCTACTCTTTTGAAATAAAGAACAATATGGTTTCTATGTTCTTTGATTCAAATAAGGTTGGGTGCTGCAACATATCGAATGGATTGTATAGATTGTGTTTATCTCCCAATGATATATACGTCGCTTATGCAGCTGAAAGGGTTGTTTTCAAAAGACCTCTACCTAAAGAACAGTCTTATGCATTGTGGCATAAACGACTTGGTCACATTTCTAAAGAAAGAGTGGAAAGGCTGATAAAGACAAACATCTTGCCTACTCTTGAAAGTGACCTAGATACTTGTGTAGACTGTTGTAGGGGTAAGATGACCAAGATAAAGAAGAAAACCGCAGTCCGTAGTTCTGACCTGTTGGAAGTCATTCACACTGACATTGATGGACCCTTTACAGCAACATTGTGTAGAAATTTCTATTTCATCACATTTACAGACGACTATTCCCGATATGGTTATCCGTTCTTGATTAAGGAGAAGTCTGAGTCTCTTGACAAGTTCAAGATTTTTCGGACTGAAGTCGAGAAACAGCTGGGAAAAGTCATAAAGGTTGTCAGGTCTGACCGAGGTGGTGAGTATTATGGCAGGCATGGCGATGCTGGACAGCTGAAAGGGCCATTTGCCAAATACTTGGAAGATTCTGGAATAGTGGCTCAATTTACTATGCCCGGGAGTCCTGAACAAAACGGTGTGGCCGAAAGACGGAATCGCACCCTTATGGACATGATGAGGAGTATGATTAGCAGGACGAACTTACCTGATTTTCTATGGGGTGAAGCCTTGAGAACAGCTCTCTACATTCTAAATCGTGTTCCTACCAAGGTTGTTCCAAAGACTCCTTTTGAATTATGGACTGGACGTAAACCTAGCCTAAATCATCTTAAAGTTTGGGGGTGTCCTGCAGAAGTAAGGTTATACAATCCAACATTGAGCAAATTGGAATCCAGAACTACTCGATGTTACTTCGTATCTTATCCAGATCATTCGAAGGGGTATCGATTTTGCAGTCCCCATGGAGGCACAAGAATTGTCGAATCACAGACAGCGAAATTTCTAGAATTTGATGTAGCCGAGAAGGGTAGTTGCTCACAGACCATTGAGGATAATAATATGGTAGGTACTACAGTGTCGATTTCTCTACCTGTACAGACGATAATGGAGACCCCTACACCACAGACTGAGCCTGTTGTGGTTCAGGATCCTATTATTGAAATAGCTCTTAATGAAGTACTTCAAACCCCTCAGGTGCAGGATGAGGAAGTAGTAGCTCCACTCAGGAGATCTATCAGGCAGAAATGATCGGCTATACCACCGGATTATATGGTCTATCTGGGAGAGCATGACTACGATATAGGCTGCGTGGTTGATCCAGTAACTCATTCAGATGTAATTTCTTGTCCTCAATCAGATATGTGGGTGGATGCAATAAAAAACGAGATTCAGTCTATGCGATATAATGGTGTTTGGGAGCTTGTTGAATTACCTAAAGGTTACAAGCCCATTGGTTGCAAATGGGTATACAAGACTAAAAGAGACTCCAAAGGAAAGATTAAGAAATTCAAAGCCAGACTGGTAGCCAAGGGTTTCACTCAAAGAGAAGGAGTAGACTATGAGGCGACTTTTTCACCAGTATCTTCTAAGGATTCTTTCAGAGTGATCATGGCATTGGTAGCTCATTTTGATATGGAATTACACCAGATGGATGTTAAGACTGCCTTTTTAAATGGAGCCATTGATGAGGAAGTCTATATGGTGCAACCCGAAGGTTTTGCAGCTGATGATTCAGGTGAGCTTGTGTGTAGATTGAAGAAATCTATTTATGGCCTTAAGCAAGCTTCTAGACAATGGTATTTGAAGTTTCATAGTGTTGTCACTTCATTAGGTTTTGTTGAGAACAAGTTGGATCAGTGTATATACAGCAAGGTCAGTGGGAGGAAATTTATTTTTCTCATACTTTATGTAGATGGCATCCTGCTTGCGAGTAGTGATATTTGATTACTACATGAGACAAAGCGAATGTTGTCGAAGGATTTTGACATGAAGGACCTTGATAAGGCGTCTTTTGTCTTAGGCATTGAGATCCATAGGGATCGTTCTCGCCAAGTATTGGGTTTGTCTCAGAGAACATATGTTAATCGTATTTTGGAAAGATTCAGTATGCAGGACTGCAAGCCAGGAATTGCTCCTGTCATAAAGGGTGATAAACTGAGTCTGTAACAGTGTTCTCATACGGATGTTGAGAAAATCCAAATGAATGATGTTCCTTATGCTAGTGCACTCGGAAGTATCATGTATGCTCAAATTTGCACTAAGCCAGACATTGCTTTTGCAACAGGACTTCTAGGCAGATATCAGTCAAATCCAGGACACGATCACTGGGTTGCTGCCAAGAAGGTTTTGAGGTACTTAAAGAGGATAAAAGACTATATGCTGATCTACAAACATGTTCAAAACCTTCAGCTGGTAGGGTATTCGGATTCAGACCGTGCTGGCTGTCAGGATGAAAGGAAGTCGACAACGGGTTACATCTTTAAGTTAGCAAGAGGTGCAGTATCATGGAAAAGTGAGAAACAGAAATCAATGACATCCTCTACCATGCAAGCGGAGTTTGTAGCATGCTTTTCGGCCGCTACTCAGGCAATTTGGCTCCCGGAACCTCATTAGGGAGTTGACCGTATTTGATTTTGTGGATCGGCCCATACAGTTGTATTGTAACAATAACTCTGCAGTGTTGTTTGTTAACAACAACAGAGGTCTCAAAGGGTCTAAGCATATGGAGGTCAAGTACTTGACCATAAAAGAAAAAGTCAGGGATGGTGACATTATAGTAGAGCACATTTCCACAGATGATATGGTAGCAGATCCACTAACTAAAGGCCTTCGCCCTTGTATTTTTGAACGACATGTCGTTAGCATGGGCTTAGGAGTATCATGGGATACTGTTGTTTAGTGGGAGCTATTTTTTAATTTATGCTTTAATAAAGTTTACATCTGTGTTCTGTTACTCTTTGTAACATTTTGGATGTGTATCAACCCATTTGCATTCAATAAGGTGTTTCTGAATGCATTGTTGTCATGTTAAATACACATATAAGGTGACATTCTTAAGGTACTATGTAAACCTTGAGTAAAGGCTATGGGCATTCAGTTATTGGCCTTAAGGATATGTCTTATAACACATAAAGTAATGTTAACAATAAGGATAAGACATATGTAGGTTCATTGGAACCATAAAGATATTCTCTAGTGACACATCAGGTTTTTGTGACACTTAAAGAAAGAGAATGAGGACTGACAAAGGGGATGACACATGAGGTATCACTCTTTATGAGGTGTCATCCGTTTGCCACACAACCATATCGAATCCATATCAGTAAAGTCTAAGACGCTTGTGACCATGGAAGGCTCTGCGTGATTACATGCAGTTACCGCCATAATTCGATGTTTGAAACTTTATGGAATCGGATTGACTATTAAGAATTATCCATAGACCAAATAAAGGTGCACATAAGGTACGATTTCAATTAATATAGCCCAAGTGGGAGAATGTAACGTTTTCCTAATGTAGGTTACATTAATTGAGATTGTTATTACCTGCTTACGGGTTTGGTCTAATAAGTTTGGATATAAAGTTTCTTAATTGGTCGGATATGGGCTCGGCTTGTGTGGGCCGAGTTCGGCCCAGCCCGTTATGAGAGGGCCTGGCTGGAAACTCTATAAATAGAGATGCAGGTCCCTCCTCTGCACCTAACTCTCTCCAATCTCTCTCAAACGCTCTCAAACTCACCTAAGGCTTCCGTGAGTTGGCTGAGGCAGTCTCATAGCGCCGGGACTTCGGGGGTGACAGGGAAGAAGACCTACGGCACTGGTTCATCGTCATTTCCGCATCCAGGCCGATGGAATCCAAATCAGGTGCACAAATTCTATCCATCCTTTTACTGTACCGTTAATATCTCGCTATGGTGATCCTAGGGCGCTCGGCCGAGCCATACGGGCCGGCCAACAATGTCAACCAAGCTACTGATGGAATCCAAATCAGGTGCACAAATTCTATCCATCCTTTTACCGTACCGTTAATATCTCGCTATGGTGATCCTAGGGCGCTCGGCCGAGCCATACGGGCCAGCCAACAATGTCAACCAAGCTACTGGTATATATCACAGCCTACCAACGAGACAAACTCAGTTTGGTCTGGGTTTCTCTGAAAGACTTGAGGGTATTGGAGAATAACCATTTGGTGGTTTTATTGATCAGTCTGCTGTTCAGACATGCTTGGTTTTGTATCTTAGATTACTCCAACGTGTTAGTAACCGTTGAAGTGAGTTCATATAGTATCCTCTCCAGCATGGAGTTCCTAATAAACCATCTATACTTAGGCGGTTACAGATCATTCAGGACGATTCATTTAGCTAAGTAAAAATGACTCATCTCTTATTTTTCAAAAGAACAGATGCTCAGTAGTCAGTAGCAGTGTATCTCTGGAAGATGGGACCGATAATTCAATATCGGAACATAAGCAAGGAACGCAATTTCTAGGGAAAGTAAGGCAAAGAGAGAACACATAAACGCAGTGAACAAAGTTTTGACCCTAAAGTAGATTAGTCACCATCACCAATCTGGATGCAAATTCTGCAGGCCTTCAGGTGCAGTCAATTGTCCTAACCCTATCATACTGCCGTCGTGACTTCTCTTAACCCCAGTCCTTGATTGCCCAGCCGGATCAACCCCTAAGAAATCAACTGTCATTTTTTCACCTCCTCCTGTGTAGTATTCTCCACCAAGTATGTTGCCAACATTCCTATTGTCATGCATAAAAAATGCCGAGTCGGCCAATCCAACCTGTGGAACAGGACCGGTGCTCTGATTCTCCACTTCCATCAATGCATTATGTTTTCCGACACATTGCCTCAGCTCCGTGTTGTTAACTACAAAACTTCCATCCTGCACTGACCCAGATGAGTTCACTGAGCCGCCAGCTGAGTAACCAGAAAATCCTCTGTATAGTATCGGAGAGATCGTGTTATCACTTATTTTTGCACCCATTTCAGTAGCCTTCTGAAGCAAGGCTGTTGCGGATGTGTAAGCAGAGGCCATGCTGAGAGAGGCAAGGCTGTTCGATCCGCCAATCGAGGCCATACATGCTCGGGAAGCTCTCGCGTTATTGAAAGGATCCACAATAGTCGGTATCACAACCCCTGCTGAGTTGAGAGCCAGTGGCCTCAGCGAGGTGTCCATGTCCTCATTATTAAAGGACAAGTTCATCATAGAGTCTATGTTTGAGGAGGAATCGCCTGGCAGCAAGGGGTTTAAGGCCTCTTGAGTTTGGTTTTGTGACATTCCTCCTCCAAAAGCTGTGAGGTTCTGATTCATTCTGTCATTTTCTTCTGTCGATGCATCGCAGAAGGCTCTATGCGTGACGAAGCTGTCTTTCCTGTGAATTGGTGTTGATAACAATAACTTATTTCAGTAATTATTGTTTTTCCCAATCCTATTGAACTGAAAGTCAAAGTTGGCCTAGGAAATTCTTGGAAGAGAAACTTGTACGTTGAAGAGTGTTCTATGGATCATAGAGAACTGCGACTAGGAATGTTTTACCTTGAGAAAATTGTTCCGCACTCGCAACGATACTCTCTCGTACCACAGATTTTGGTATGCGCCTTCCAATCTGATTGGACGGCATACCTTTTCAAGCACTTGTCGCACTTCCATTTCTTTTCTCCGTGCTTTCTGCAGTAGTGCTTCTTTATGCCAGTCAAATCGCCGAGAGCCCGACTGGGGTCGTGGTGCACACAGTTCGGCTCGGGGCAAATATAAACTCTCTTCTTGGCCTGTGTGCTTGACCTCTGCTTTAGCTTCCAGGGCAAGTTGTGGCCTCTCCTGTGAAGCTGGAGGTTTTGATCTCTCTGAAATCCTTTATGGCACACCTCACAGATGTACCTGTTGGTCGCCATTAGAGTCCTTGGAGATAGGGCTACAACTTCTGCATCCGGGTCTGCAATATTTTGTCATACAACGAAAGAAAGGATCTTAGTTTCACAAAACATAAATGCTGTAATCTCTGCAGCTAAATTTAACTGAGGACTATTTAACAGGAAATAATCTTCCTCCCTGTCCTTTCTCAAAGGTATTAGTTGTAGATATCAGCTCATTCCCATTTTTTAAGCAGTCATTAATGATGTTGAAAGACTCCCACAGATTCTTGTAATGGCAGAGGCCCAGAGGCTTATAGTCAACAAACGGGTTGTCAAGATTACACGTGTGCTTTGACTGAAAACTATCGTGATTTTGATGGAAGAGTCCACCGTCAGAAGCCTAGTTTGAATTATAGCATTCATCTTTGCAACGTTGTACTCTAAAGTAGTTCCCTCAACAGCTTTTAATACTATGTTAAGTTTGACCCACTAACGAGAACTTTTTCTTCTTAATTCGACTTCTTGTTACGAGTACCATGCATTCTTATGGTGCAAATAAATGAAACACCTGTACTTACCGGGGTTTCCTGGAAGGTTCCGCTTCTTTTTCGATGCTGTCGGGGGTGGAGGAGTGACAGCATCGCTGCTGTTCTCAATCATGACAGGGCTTCCATTGGAGGACTGCGAGAAGTTATTGGCACTCTGAAACTGTTCATCATCTTCAAAACCCTGAACATAGTTTGACATATTTGAAATGGTGCTTCGGTTATTATCTCCCAGTGTTGGAAGGTGGGGAACTGAATATAAATACGCGATGGACAACGTAGAACTCGGGTTTTGCCGACAAAAGGAAGAAAAAATTCCGAGCCAAACTCGATGGAAATTGCATGGTCCACGAAAGTAATATTATAGTCTAATTAAGAAATTCCGTGATGACAGCATCTTCATGTCAATAATGCTTCCTGGTAAAACCAAGTACCATTCAGATTGAAACTGTAGAACTTGGGATCTGCTTGTCCTGTTTGGTTGTAGTAAGCAGAAGTCAGCTCATTTTTTGGACCGACCCTTTATATTTTAGTGGCAAGAATGAAGAGTTCATGAATGAGTGCAACGAATAGTTCATTCCGTGTAAATTTTAGTGGTTCGGCTTGAGATCGATCTGAATAATCATTTACTTTATAAAAGCGTTGCCGTACCTGTCTCGGTATGAAGACCGTGAGATAAATATGATTTTGAGGACATGAAGACAATAAGAAAAGGGACACAAAAGAGAGTGACAAAGGAGAGATCCGTGTGAAGAGACAAGAAGTAGCCTTCTGGTGTGGTTTGTTTAAGTCTTGAAAGTGAATGTGAAGACCTGCTTCTGTGATCATCCTTTGGATGCCACCATCAAACGTTTGGAGCATATGTGCTTGTCAAGGACTCGTTGTCACTTAGCTTCAGGGTGGTTTAAACAAGTTCATCTCAGACTCAAAAGAGTGGCCATTGATGTGAAATTCTTCGTTTAATTTATGCTTTTTCCAAGCCGATAACCAGTGCGGTTGGGTACCCGATCGCAAAGCGAAAGACGATCTTTCGGTGTTACCGTAGGATTAGGAGAATTGTTGAACAAAAGAAAGAAGTCATTTCTGTGGATTGAGTAGTCTATTAATCTGTTTAAAAGCTAGCGAAGGACATCCGGAAGTGATATCGTGTAACAATAAGAAAAGAGATTGACAAACTCTCTTTTATCACTTAATATAATCTTCTTTTCACATTTGTTGGATTATAATGCAAATTTCCATCTTAAACTGTATATCAAAATATTTCTTATCTATATTTTGAACTTATGGAGCAGGAAAAATCAATAAAAATCAAAACTGGGTCGTTAAATGCGTGCAATATTTCTTAGGCTTTAATTATTCACGGTAGATTTAGACACTAAAATTCATTCTCATAATTTGAACTGAGAACAAGAAAGGGCGATGACTAGGCCGATTTTCAAGCACGGCGTGTTAGCGACGAGAAATCAAGTCTAGGAATTAGCTTCGAGAGAGATTCAATTTGGAAATAATTTTTATGGAGGGATTTATTTTCATAAAAAGAAAAGAAAAAGTAAGAGTTTCTAAATCTTGTCTTATTTGCAGGTAAACACCCCCTAACTCGCACCATTTGTAATTATCTTAAACGCCCTTAATCCCTTGTTTTTGGTCAGCATTCTTTAATCCTTTGAAGGTTTGACACGGTCGATGCGCGTCCCACTAAGTTGCAAAAACAAGATGTAATATCATGATAATTAATTCCGATCCCTTGCTTTTACATGATCATTAGACACAGCTTCCTCTCTTTTTTTTATGCTCTTCAACCGAAAAATAAGCAAAAGAAAAAATTAAAAAAGAGAAAATCAAAATACACGCAAATGGGAGGGCCAATAGATTTCACTTCTTTAGCCCAACACAAACCCCATCACCCAGAACCCTTCAACCCCCCAAAAATCAGAAAAAAAAATTAAAAATTAAAAATAAGGATAAAATATAATAACTCCAAGACGGCAAACAGCAAAAATTACTTTTTAAGATTTACAGAGAATAGAAATTATTGATTAAGGCTAAAAATAGTACGCAGATGACGAGCCCAAATCGAACCCGTCCACGCCCTTATCCGAGACCTGCGGCATCCTCCCGAAGAGTGGGCCTGGTTGCTCCACGAACTCGTTCGGGTCAAAGCCCATGTACGGCCCGTTTGACGGCCCAGGCACGTTGCTGCTCAGGCCCTGCTCTTGCAGCCCCAAATAGCCCATATCGGCCCAACCGCCGTGGCCCATATCCAAGCCCGACCCGTAGCAGCTGGACATGTCGGGCGGAAATGGCGGGAGCTCGGTCTCGTCGTAGGACTGCGGGCGGGCCGCGTGCCCGAAGTCGGCAATGCCCGTCACCGGATCGTAGGGACCACCGCCGAGGGACCCGTCGGCCCACCCGTTTTGGGCTGGCAGCCCGGACGTGAAGTCCACGTTGCAGGCGCTCATGGAGCCCGGCGAGTAAAAGAGCTGATGAGTGGGGTTGTTGTTGTTCTTGTTATTTTGATGATGTTGTTCTTGTTGTTGATGATGATGCTGAGAGATGAAGAGCGCGGCGATGTCGCTGTGGGCCTCATCGGGGGAGACGAGGGAGGTGACCGAGGAGCCCGGGGGCATGTCGGAGTAGACGAAGTTAGTCCGAGCCTTAGCGCCCCGCATGGACCGGGCGGCCCGGTCGTAGGCGAGGGCGGCCTCCTCGGCCGTGTCGAAGGTCCCGAGCCAGTGCCGCTCCTTGGTGGTGGGGTCCCGTATCTCAGCCGCGTACCGGCCCCATGGCCGCCGCCTCACCCCAAGGAATCTCGCTGGGGCCGCCCCGTCGTCTTGGTGGGTTTGGAGGGGGGGCGACGGTTGCTGCTGCTGATGCTTTCTTTTGGGCTTTGAAGGTGATGGTGAGTTGACCGGTGATGACGAGTTGGTGAAGTTCAAGTGATCCATGATGAGTGAACTAGTGGCAATGCCTATATGATCATGCAGAGAGAGAAAGTGTGTGGGGTTTCCCAGGTTGTGTCGAGGAGTTTCAGAACAAGTTGTGTTGTGGCTGTGACTTGGGTTTAAGGGCTCTGCATGGATTGAGGGGTTTAAATAAGGAGGAGGTGCTGTTATATAGACCCACGTCCGTTTGCAATAATTGTCGTTAACCAAGTTGTTAATTGCATTCCAATCCCTATTACTTTTGCATCAGTGATGATGTTTAACAATCAAATTAATCTTTTTTTTTCCCTGAAAAAAGTTCAATACCCACTAATATTACTGGCTTTGTGTTGCACTGTGGCCAAAATAGAAAATGAAAAAAAAATTGAAATCGTTGCGCTGAAATATTTGTGTTTTGGGGACTGTGGCCAGACACTTCTAGCAGAAGCCGTTAGACACGCATTAAACGGGCGCTGATGAAGAGAGTTAGTGGTTTTGAGAAATCACTCACATAAATGACTTGAGCATTTATACTTTGCTTTGATGTCAACATTTTAAAGTGCCTCTTGAGGTCGATCTCATAGCCATTGAGATCAAAATGACTGGCTTTGAATGTCAGTCTCGGCGTTCCGTCTTCTCTTCTCCCGTGACCTGTTGTAGTCTTACTCGCAAACTAAAATCTGCAAATCTTTTAGGACCCTTGGCTTTGAATGCATTGGCAAAATCTGAGTGAAGTCATGAGGTCCTTTCAGTATGATGTGGGGAATATCATCATGCGGAAAAAGATAATGGGTCAAATCCAGAGTTCACATTGAACACCTCACACGTTACACTAGTCACAGATGTCTTAATGTCAAAGGAAAGCTGTCTTGAAAATCTACATATGAAAAAATTCAAACGCATGGTCCAGGCTTATATCCTGCTCTAATCATTTACTCACCTAATCCAAAAAGCCCCTAACATGTGATCACCAGAGATATAGTGTATGAGTGCAGAAGTGTGTGTGTGTCCGTCTCTCTCTCTCTCTCAATTCATTCCCAATCATAGAGCGTACTGAACCAAATCAATGCCATGATGAGCCCCTGCATGCTTATCATGAAAACGAAACGACCCAAAGCTTTTATCCCAAAAGGCCATCAAAACGACTTAGAGGATTCTTCTGCACCTTATGATTGCTCAATTCATGCCTGCAGCAATCCAATCATCAATCCCATATTGTCAGATGATTAAATCAACTGTCAGAAGAATCCAGCACCCCCCATCATCCCTTGTTTATATTAAAACCCTACATTTTCCCACCGACTATTCAGTCTCCCATTCTTTGAACATCTAAGATCGGTACAGAAGTAGATTTCTCTTTCCAAGCTCTCTTCCTTTTTATTCTTTTTCAAAGCACAGTTCGAGAGCTATGACTTCTCAAATGAGTGCGTCTGCCCTCACTCCTGTGAATAAAAAAGCTCACGTTACCCTATATTCAATGCACATTAGAGAGACTCGAAAGAGTCTTGAGCTCACACGAAGGAATATAATTATCTCAGCCATGTGCGTCCATTTCGACCCAAATACAGATGATGATATGTTCCACAAGGGCTCTCGCTGCTTTTTAACCCAAAGTTCGCTTTTTGATCGATTTTTGTATTTTTTTTTTTTAATCGCCATGAGGGTGGCTTTTCCCTCTTTGATTGTTTAGTGGATTTTGGACCTTCTTAGTTGCACGTTAGCATGGAAAGGATAGAGACGCTCGAGGGCAAAATTTATGTTGGGCTGCATGTGAGAGAGGGACACATAGGGAAAGCTTTCTTTATTGAAGTAAGCAAAATTCTAGGTAAGACGACCTACGGAGTAAAAGCAAAGACTAGAAGAGTGGTCGAGGCCTTTGACGAAAAAGAGAGAAGTAGTAAGAAACAAAATGATGCGTCTCTTCAAGATGTGCGTTGTTTTCCTCAAACCCTTCTTCAACCGGACGGATTGGTGGATAGGGAATATTAATATCACTCGAAGTATACATTTTGTTAAGTTTGCACGTGGGTGATGCCCATCTTATAACTTATCAATTAGAGACGCGATTGGAGATAGCGATGGAGGAAAGTGTAGTGGTTTTCACAATTTGGTTGCTTCAAATTTACTTGGGGAAAACAAACAAGATAGTTTTGACTACTTTGACTGAAGATTAGAGCATGTATTCTAGAGATATAGGTTAGGACATTCCCGTGCCTAATATATAACTTTATGGGATTAGTTTAGAGGATAAGGAATGTGTGTAGATGAGGTGCACGACACAAGTATGATTCCTTACATACCACTGAGTGCGAGCCATTTCATGTTGGGGTCACCTATCCGAGTCTCGGCTCGCATTTTACCTAGTTTATGAGGTCAATTGGGTATCTCACGATTTTAGAATTTACTTAACTTCAGGAGAGCTTTCTTATTATAAAAAGAAAAAATGGATAACACTACGTAGCTTATATTCAAATCTGAGCTTTCAGTTGGACTTACAGAGATTTCACAGTATTTCTACAATGGGAAGTCAAAAAGGTAGTGCAGATTGTTTTTCTATAATCATTCATTGGCATTTGATAGATTGAAGGACAAATTCAAACCCTTCTCAACATAAGTCTTCAACAAGGACTAGCACAAAAAAGAGAATCCTTCTTTTGCTGTTACTTAAAGTCCAAGATTACTCTCTCTCCCCACCCTCATGTGCAAGCACATGAAAAATAGTGGAAATTCATGATTGCTCCGCTTCATTAAATAAACAAGAAATAAAAGGGTGTCTCAGCTTGATCAAAAGTAATTGGGGTACAGGTAGTTCTGTGGGTCACTTTCGCGTTAGCGAACTGCCTACAGGAGTCGAAACTCCCTTCCTGTCACCTCCGGGCGCGGGTGGCTATTATACCAGCCTACTCAGAAAGTAGCCCGTAAAAGCAAACGCGGGGTATACCCTCTCTGCTCAGGAAGCCCCAAGTTCCCTCCAAATCTTTTTCTTCCCTGGATAAAGGAAATACGAAGGAATTTGAGAAAGCTAACCTCAGTAGAGGTAAGAAGTCACAAACTTCCCACCTCCACTAAGGTTATCCCTCCCCTTATCCTTCTTAAGCCTTTTAAGGTCCTACTCAGGACCGATGTATAATGGTATATGAAGAATAAACTACTCCATTGGGAAGGCAAAGAAAACCTGCCCCTTGCTGATCCCTAACCTAAATCACAGTAAACATATATAGAAATTAGAGAGAGAGAGAGAGAGAGAGAGAGAGAGAGAGAGAGAGAGAGAGAGAGAGAGAGAGAGAGAGAGAGAGTAGGGTTATAGAAATTGGCAAAGGATGGCTTTATCTCCTCATATTTAAACTATTCCATTACATGGGTCATGCAAAATAGTATTATAACCCCCTATTTTCGTGAGGGCGTTTACTATGATTTGGTGTCTGGTGACTTATGTCTGACCAAAGCTTTTCCCACCTAATTTTTCAAGCAAAGGCATTATAATTAAGTCCAACGAAAGTTGAGAAAAACTTTTTTTTTTAACTTAATATCATACATGTATCGAGATTCGGTCGTCAAAATTAATTTGTGCAAATAATGGTATCGAGGGAAATATTTTCTGCATCAATAAAGTATAGGAGTTAGGTCTTACAATAAACAAATCAAGGCTAGTCTATAATGGAGAAGTCCATGAGTCATGGGTTTAAGATTTCTATGCTTCTAGTCCAACTTTGGTCAGTGTCTTCTTGGAAACAATAATAAAACAAAGGAAGTGAGGACAAGAATCGGCACAAGGGCTTTGAGAAAACTGAAGCCTGTTACGGCATGCATGTGGCTCCCAATATTAACCTCAAGATAGGTATGTCGGACAACATGATCCTCGGCTATAGCTCCTAAGTGAAAAGTCAGACGGTATGACCGATGAATAGTTGATATGTATTTCCAAATTAATTTCAAGATTTTGTTAACATGTATCCTGAATGCACTAGATCAGAAGGTTTTTCATTTTCGAAGCGTTATCTTTTTCGTGTTATGCACATTCAATGCATCGAAAACGAAAATATTTCTTTATCGAAGTCTACTGACGAGTATGTCAATCAAATGCGCTCATTAACAAGATCCTTGATTTTTACGCGTTTTTTCTTGGTAGCATAAGATCGACGCACAAAGTCAGACGAGACAAGAACTCGGCTTGCATCACTGGTCAAGAGTCTCTCGACAAAATTACCAAACGCAAGGATACAAAAGACTAACACAGGCTTAATATTTTTGGGGAATAGGAAAGTAGGTGAATGGAGACGCTTTGACATATTGACAATCCCCAAACACTGGCCTTGAACAAGTAGAGATCACCCCTATCGAGAAGAAACACGACCACCACTTCCATCGAGTCAAACCTCAAATTCCGGGAAAAACCATGCTATTCAACGCGTCAAAGTAGTAAAACATTCAATTTCTTTTTGTAATTATAAAAGAAAGGGCAATGCACGCTCCCTCGAACATCGATCCATCTTGATTTCTTTTCTCGAATTTCGTAACTATAATTAACTCGGACGAGGACTGAGAATCCATTCTTAACACAAACAATGCACAAGAGAAGGCGTGCCCCCATTGACAATGGTGGAGAGGGGTTGCTTTTTGAAGTCTGCGATCGCTTTCGGACTTTTCACGTATGCTTTTCCCACTTGCCCCAAGTTGATCGGCAGACGAGTAATTCCCATGATTTCCCATTACCTCCGTGCATGGTTCCCATCGACGATCCTTCAAAAGGGAAAAAAAGTACGGACATCGCACGACAAGAAAAGTATTCTCAGTAACGGTTACATTAAGATTTCGATCGAAGTGATTTCGAGTTCAATAGGAAACTTTCTCGCGTGCTATGTTACTTGTAATACATGGAATATCTTCTCAAATGACATTCGGAACAAGTGCTTGCACTCAGTGAACGTTTCCATGAAAATTGAAGCGATGTGATGGACATAAATTATGAATGGTTTTGATCCGTTGAAGGATCAGTTCGAGCAAAATGGAAGTTTGAGACAATTATAAAATTTTGAGGAGAAGGGACAAAATCGGATTGAGACTTCTGGAAAGTAATAGGTTGGTTGTAATCAAGTCGCAAACCAGACGGAAAGTCGAGTCAAATGAACCAAAGCGGTAATTCTCTTCTTCTATCTTCTTTATCAAGGGTTCAAGGATTTTATCTTATGAAGAGTGCATGTGGGGGTATTAGGTAAAAGAAAACCCACGTCGAGGACGTGATGAAATGTTGAGTAATTAATATATCTTAGTTGATCAATAACTCATTACTTTAAACTTTTAAAACAAAGATTGATCCACCAGTAATGTTGACCAAGGTTTTTGCCGCACGCCTCTAACAAGATGATATTAGAGTCAACTAATAATTACGGTATCCCCTTGCTTTCTACCAAGCTTATGGGCCAAGGCGATTGAGGTGGAGTATGAAAGGTAGATGTTATTGTCACCAACATCTACCAAATTTGGTCGAGCCAAGGTTAAGATGTATGTATGAGTTGTGTTAGAAATCCCACGTTAGGAAATTGATGTGGCATGGAGTAATTAATATATTTTAATTAGCTCATAATTTATTGGTTTAAACTTTTGAATGAATATGGATCAAACTGGATATATTGATGGACTCAAACTTGGGCTCTCTCTTGGCGATCTATCTAAAGCAAAGATACCAGGCTTCTTAGATTAGTTGCACAAACATAACGAAATAGAGAGCAAATGGTTTACCCTTAAATTAGGTCTCTCATCTCTTTGTTACATTCCTCACTCAATAATTATTCATGAACTCAAGCCTAAATTATCAATAAAATACAGGCTCAAATTATAAAAGCCCTCTAGCATCACTGAATTCCCGTTGAGAGTAACACACCCTTCATCAAGGTGGAGATTCTCGAGTTAAGATAAAATTGGTGTGGAGTAATTGGCAAATGGCACGGGAAAAGGGGGGAGATGAATCTATGCCAAAGTTTTTGCTCGGCACGAGAAAAGGGGAGCATCCAGATACTCGTCCTGAAAGTGCTGGAAAAATAAGGCATCCGGAGAGGAACTATGAGATTGCCATCTTTTTTCATGTAGCTATCACTCATCTTGCCATTGCGAGAGAGAGAGAGAGAGAGAGAGAGAGAGAGAGAGAGAGAGAGATTGCTTTGACTTGTTCTACCATCGAATCTGTCTCGTTTCGTGTCTTGGAACTGGAGAGTCATGGGATTCACAATTTGGACCAACCAGCATATTCCTCCTTCCTATATAATTTCGTGGTTCCAATTTACCCTTTTGATGCTCAATAAGACCTTAATCCCTCCCTTCAATTTACTTCTTCTTTGGGCAATACTTACCATTCCACCAATAAAATAAGAACGGCTTTGAAATAAATAGTAACATAACGTTTTCTCGGGTGAATTTGCATCAATGGTAAGTGGTCGATTAACTTTAGTGAGTTTTATAATCAAGCAATAGCCATCGCCAATGTGTCGGTAACATCAGCACCTCGAAGGAAACATTACCCAGTTTCAGTCAAAGTGCCTAAAGGGGAAATAAAATGAAATTTTAGTGCATTGTGTCATTGAAATCATGCCATTATGTCCTATTGGATCAAACGGGGGAAATATTCCAAGTTAACGCTTTCCAAGGTCCTTTACGACAGAAGATGGACTTCATAAGGCCCATTAGGACTGCTAGCCCAACCTCCGCTTAAGGGCTGGAGGTGATGGAACCTCATTTTTGTAGTTACATCCCAAGCGCAAAACTGTGACCTCGTAAGCTTATGGTTAAAACTTGGAATCGCGGTTCCTAAGATTGGCTCTTTTGGAACTCGTGCCGGGCTACGTGAGCTCTCGACCTGTCCCGATATATTTGAGCGCGCTTCCTCCAATTTGTTCATATAAAAAAAAAAAAACGATTGTGCTTGGAAATGGTTGAAGAAGCGCGGAAGAAAAATCGTGGCTGAAAATGATGAGAATTGCGAATTTGTACGAGAAGAAAAAAGGAGAGAGAGAGAGAGAGAGGGGTCAAAATTAGTGACAAGCGAGTATGGAGAAGCCACGATCCATTTCTGATAATGCGAGGATACTCACTTGATTATATAAAGAAAGAATATTCTGTTATAATCGATTTTTGGTATACAGATCGTATAGCTTCTTTTTTTTTTACACAAACCACCTTTAAGATCATCTTTAATACACGCAGTAGCTCTGTTATTAGAGATTAATTAACTATCAAAATCAATTGCGATAAGCATGACTTGTATAAGATTAAGAATACCAAATTTGCGTACCACAAAGAAAATCTGTTATCCTCGACTAGAATTAAATTTTCGACTTGATTGATTTGATTCAATTCAATTTTCTTTTATATGTTTTGGATTGGATACGGTCTAAGTACTTCGTTAGAGACTTTCATAACCCCCCCCCCCCCCCCCTTTTTTTCCCAGTGAACATCTAAATTCAGGAGAATCGGGATTATTTTTTTTCAATAAGGCTAATACTACTTATATTAAGATCGATTTGCATAATTAACGCTTTAATCGGAGCGAAGCACTATTTTGAAAAGAGAAAATCATTTTTCTTTATTTTTCTTTCACCTAGACCAAGCACACTCTCCTCCGTGCAATCCTTTTAATAATTTTGTATTTTCTCCTTCTTTTTTCTTCTTTTTTCTTTTTTAATAGATTTTTTAATTATTTTCTTTTTACTTGTCCTTTTCTTTTTGTCATTTTTGTCTTTTCTTCCTTTTGCTTTTTCCTCCTCCTTCAGTCGGTTGCCGGCCACAGAGATGGCCGACGACTAGCCACAGGCGAGGGGCGAGCTCGTGCAAAGCCAGTGAGGCTTGAGCTTGAACCTTGTAGGCCTCGGGAGAGATGGCGAGGCTCGGCATGTCGGAATCGGGTGAGCTCAAGCCTCGTCGGCCGTTGCCATGACGGCCAATCGAAGAAGAACGAAAAAGAAAAAAATTGTTAAAAAGAGTACACAAAGAGGAAAATCAAATATTTTCTAGCTCATTATCAAGTTTGAGCCAAACACCGGAAAATATTGTCATTTTGCCAAAAGACATTTTCCACAAATATCGCATTTTTCTCTAAAACAAACAGACTCTCAGTGCATCAGTTTTGTAAATCGATTTCGCTCATACGCTCGAACACTCTTTACGATATGATATGGACCCATTCGCGTTTCAGAAGAAGTTGACGGTGGAGGTGGCGATGAGAAAATTCAGAGATTCGGGGTATCAGTGGGCTCCGACCGGACCGGCCCATCAAGCAGACAAAGGCCCGGTCGCACGATCGACACCACCGCCGCCGCATCGCGCCCGGTGCGTGCACCGCAAATTCCAATTTCTAAGACCCCACGCGCGAGGTGTCGGAGCTTCATCATCAATGAGCGCACGGTCCACAACCCCCACACCAAATCCATAATCCAACCACTTTCTCGATAATTCCATGTTCATATCAATCGGCGGAGAATAAAGTTTTAATCTTTCGCGATATAATCTCTTTTTCTTTTTTTGTGCCAATCCTTTTTCTGGGAGGCTGAACATCAAGCATCGTCAAAGTAGGCGGTGCGGTGCGTGGCATTTTGTATTGCCGTCGCGCTGTTTTTGCGACTCCTTCCGTATTTCTGCCTTTGGTTGACTCCAAGTCTCTGCTCCCGGAGCAAGCGTTGGATTCGGCGCGATCCACCCGCGTCCCCCTCCGTTTCGCTGCCTCCCGAGGTAGGCCGATCGTGTGTGCTGCTGCTGTGCGCAGCTTAATTCCGGTGAAACGTGAAGAATTTGTTCGTTCTTGTTTAATTTTGAAGGTGGGTTTTCGTGGAGATCTGTCGAGTGTTCGTCAATTGTTCTTTTTTTTCTTGTTTTTTTAGCTTTTTCTCGTTAAAGGGGTTGTTTTGATTACTCGGATGGTCTGATTTGACTTCTCATTGTGTTGGGTCTGTGTTGATTGCCCGAAGATCTGCTGGGGTGTTACGAAGAAGCTGGGTTTGATTTGGTTCTCGAATGGTTTGTTGGGCCAATCATTGGAGAAACGTGGAATTAGGTGAAATCTGACTCTTTGAACTTGTCTGAGGCAGAAATTGAGTCGTCACGTGTCCTCTTTGGTTAGATTTGCTAGGCTGGTTAATGTGATCACATTCTTTGCTGCTGATGATGATCTGACTGTTGCTTATCGCAGTACTTAACCATTCTTTTCGGTGATCATTGGTTAGTGTGCATTGTCGGTGACGAGAATGCCACTTTGTTATATGTGCGAAGCATCTGTTCTTAGTTGTTATCCTTGGGGTGGTTGTCGAGGCATGTTGTGGTTCTGTTGGTTCATAGTAGTTTTCATAAGCTCGATTTGCAGGTTGTTGAGGTAATCACTGATGGGTTTCTGAAAGTGTCAATCAGAACAAAAGCTAGACGTGAACTTTTTAATGAAAAAGTCAAACCTATGGCCATCCTCATAGGAGTGATGGTTTGAGACAAAGAAATGAATGCATTGTTCTGGGACATAGCATTTGCCAGTTGATGACATGAGCAAGGCGACATTATTTCTGGTTACAAATGATGGTATTCAGAGATGATCTCGAGGAATGTGTTATTTATGCTCTTGGAGTGTGAGTCAATTGTCTGATGGGAGGATGTTTGAGAGTGTAGAAGCAACTGGCACATATCATTGGAATGATATCCATATTCCATGTTCAGTTGCTTCTCCTTTTGTTTAGCTTCATTGATTTTATCTTTCTTAAAATTCTTGATAATGCCAATGGTTTGCCACTTTGCAGGTTTCACTCTTGCTGTTTTGGACCATCAGGTTTCCTATAGGTTTCTCCTCATTTATCAGAAGAACTTTCCCATTTGATTTTCGACAATCTTGGTAGTTTGGATCTTCTCCATGATCTGCCAGATTTCATTGTCCACCACCAGGACTTAGAACATTTTCTGGGAAGCATCAAGATGGGTGCTATTTGCTGCTGTCCACGCACAGATGATATTGAAGAGTATACTTGTCCAAGCAATACTATATATGGACAGTGCTTATGCTTAAGATTTTTCTTCCACCAGCTTTTTACCGGGGTAGGCTTACACCAAACATATCAGAAGCTTTGATATTTAATATTAACGGAGAATTTCAGTATGTGTCCTCTGGCTGTTGTTAGTGTCGGTGCGGGAAAGTCCTTTTTGCTTTTACAGCCTTCCCAATTCGAATAGGGAAATTTATTTTTCTGAAAGTGACTTGCATGGGTGGTATGTGGAACTTGACCAGATTCACACGGAGTTGGAGATAGGTCCTGCTATTCTCAATAATTTGTCGCAATCCACCTTAATCCATATTCAGCATGGGTTCTCTCATAATTTATCCACAGTTTGGAGATTTTAGGTTTCCATAGTTGTTAACCTCTTTCAAGTATAATAACCGCACCGACCTTTTGTTATTTTGTCTCCCAATACAGTACAGTGCCGTGTTCCAGAGACCTCAAGGACGGTCTATGACTGCCACGGCTCCGGTCTCCACTTCTTTGGCTTCATCAGGGATCACTGGATCATCACCAGACAATTCCACGACTGACATTCACCTTGCAAATCCCAGACCCGTTCCATATGAGGTTGAGCAGAGATATTCCCGCTTGCCACGTGATGGCTTGGTGTCTAGGCGAGAGAAGTCCATGACCCATTTCCAAGAAGAGTCACAACCACTCAGAATAAACGTGAGTAGTTCTGGTACAGAGTCAGTGGAGTTTGAGAAGAAATGGAGTAGTGTTGATCCGGAAGAAGAGTCTAAACTTGATTTAGAACCTATGGAGAAGTTGTCAACAAACAAATCTGCGAAGGGATTAAATTCGACTCAACTTTCTTTAGAAGATGAAGACGTCTGTCCCACATGTCTTGAAGGTAATGTAATCTGGTAATCTGGATTGGGCATTTTCCATCGCGTTAATCCGCTTGTGAGTTATTGTGCATACTTTCTTCTCATGCATTGCCGTTGGTAGTTGCGATGGAAAAACTGTTGCAGCTGTTTTTGCATAACATTTGCAATTGCTGATTCCTGCAGAATATACTCCTGAAAATCCTAAAATTACAGCACGATGCTCTCACCATTATCATCTTGGTTGTATTTATGAATGGATGGAAAGAAGCGATAGTTGTCCTATTTGTGGCAAGGTATGCACCATTCTCATCCCAGTTACTTCTCACGCGGTGCAGCGACACCTTTTTTCTTCGTCCCCATTTATAGAGTATTTAGGAGAAATAGGAAACAAATTTCTATGACTCATTCCTAAGCTTTGGAAATATGCCTTGTATGAGATCTGAATTTTTTAATTTTGGAACATGTGAGTATGAAATAAATGTTCATTTGAATTGGATGAGCACGTGAAGTCTCTTGTCTAATGTCTTTCTTCTTTTTCTTTTCTATTTTAAGTTCCTGCATATATGTATTTCTTTTCTTTTCTTTTCTTTTGAAGTTCGTACACATGTGATCAATGCATGGTATATAAAGCTTCAAAAACGGTTGCCTACTCTCTCATTTGAGTAATGAAATCGGGTCCCTCTTTTCCTCGGCATGTGTAGAGCTTATATATGTATCATCATCGTCGGCTTCATCTTTGCTTGCGACATTTTTGTGGTCTTTTCTTGAGACGCATCTTTTGCTCTATCGAGTTTATCATCTCCATTGAATCCTTATCTCACCGCTCTTCTTTCTTGAATCTCAGGAAATGGAGTTTTGTGAAAGCCCTTAGCGCCGTATCATGAAACCACTGGTTATCACAAAGATCTAAAAATATACACAGATTAGTTGGGTTTGTGTTCTGTAAATAAAGGTTCTCTTGCCCCCGTATGAAATGGGCTGTGGGGAGGAAATGGTGGTCTCTGGATTGTACATCACATGTTATTCCTGATATGAATGATGCTCTATCTTCTTTACTTATGTATCGGTCTGCCGATTTAAACTAATGCCAAATCGAACCAGAACTGTCACGGGATCAACGGATAACTCAGTAATAGCGATTTTCATCTAACGTTGAGATTGTAAAGAATAACTAGATGGTTGCCTAAAGAAGCAAAAAACACTGGTCATTTGTGGCTGCTGAACAAATACCCTCTCTCTCTCTATCTCAGTCTCTCTCAGTGTTGTTTAATATGATGTAGTTTGGTGCAATGACGTTGATGTACAAACTATCGGAGTGACTATGAAAGGATACCAAAAAATGCAAGAGCACTGGACAGTGGACAGAGACTACAGAATCACAAAGAGTTGCAGAACGCCACTCTACAGACGGTGGTTCGCCCACTTCGCATCTTGTCTTTCAATTCCTCGGAAATGCAATACAGAGGCGCGTGACCGCTCGAATCGACTATTTTGGCCGCGTTTCGACATGCTCATTTTTTTCGACGGGATAGGGTGAGGAATTCAGGGGGATTGGGAATTGGGGTATGCAAGGTCATGTTTAATCACGTCCAGTGTTTGGCAGTTCAATTTGGAGTAATTGAAATGAGGAGGCTCAAAATCAGGGCTTAGAAAAGTGACAGAAGAACAGGCAGCGAGTTCCATATCTGTACAATGCTCCGATTAACGTTCTGTATCTCATGACTATTGAATGATCATGTTCTCCACTACGAATGACTCTTCAAACCTACACCTACGTGCCATGCAGTCCGGGTCTGAATTTTGTCATGCGCATCACTTTCGAATTTTTTCGTTAAACAACATGAATTAGTCGGTTTAAGTACTTGGAAAATGTTTAGGGATCCATCCATTTTCGAGGAAAATGAATGAATTTGGAAAATATTTTCCGAAAAATGATTCTATGTATCTGCAAAAAAAAATAAGGAACGAACGAAAATATTCAATTAAAGTCGATACGAAAATGTTTCAAAAATAAATCCCTCTTTCTGATAATAGAAATATTTTTATTTTCGACTAATAATTTCTTTTTCTTTTTCTTTTTTTTTTATCAAAAACGATCGTTTTTTGGAACTGCATTTTCCAGTAGAGCCTTGGTAATGCAAACAAGTTTAAAAACTGGCCTACACAAGACGATCCACACCAATTCGAAAGAATGCTAGTCTCCGGTCCTTTCTCAAACATTCAAATTTTCGTTTTCAAATGGCGATCGAAATTCATATCATTTGACAAATTAATTTGCGCAAAGACGCAAAATAGATTTTGTCACGTCCTAAATAACTAAACCTTCGAATAAATTCAAGTTTTTTTAATTTCTTGTAACTCTTTTTATAAAGCGTTCTAGGCAGCATCATTCCACCAATTTTGTAAATTTTGAGCTTTCATTTTATCACGGGATTTTATCAATATAATTGAAAAAATCATAAGAAACAAGTATTCTAGATTATGTTAATTTTTGCAGTTACAAATAGGCCCGAACGGGTGGGTCGGGTCTTAAATGGTCCAACCCAAATTGACCCATTAACTGAATATCGGATGGGTTGGGTATGGACCGGGTCGGGTATGGGTCGAGATATTTACCTATGAATAAATGGGTCTAACCCATTAATGGGTCAATTTGGGTCGACCATTTATCTTGGGACCATAGGCCCGTTTAACGGACCATTTGTATCGGTCAAAATGATTTCAATTGGACCAAATATTCACTTACGAAATGTTAAAGAATAAATCCGATAATGGGAATTTTTAGACAATAGTTAGATTAAACTTTCTATTTTTTCAAAAATTTTAAAAAGTAAATAAAAAAAAACTTAAAAATATATATTTATGCTAGTCCGATCCTTTCTCAAACATTCAAATTTTCGTTTTCAAATGGCGGTCGAAATTCGTATCATTCGACAAATGAATTTGCGCAAAGACGCAAAATAGATTTTGTCACGTCCTAAATAACTAAACCTTCGAATAAATTCAAGTTTTCCTAACTTAACTCCTCTATAAAGCGTTCTAGGCAGCATCATTCCACCAATTTTGCAAATTCTGAGCTTTCATTTTATCACGGGATTTTACAAAATTGACCGACTCAAGAGCGTATGTGCTCGATATTCTTCTTTTATTATTATTATTTTTATTATTTTCTAGTTTATTTTAAGAATCTCTGAGATCTCCGCCCACTGATCTGAGCCTAACCAGATCTCGATTTTTATTTTTGATTTAATTTTATTGAATAATCCCAAAACGACTCGACCATGAAACCCAAACTGAGTCGGCTCGACTCGACTCGACTCGAGCTATAGGCTATAGGCTGGCGCGGAGCCGAGGGGCGGGGCCTCGTGTGGGGTGCTTTTGCTTTTGTCGTCGTCGTCCCTGCTCGCACGAGCCCAACTTGCCGCTCCTCCACATGTTTTTACAGCGCTTCTTTTCATTTTGAAAAAACAAAAAACAAAAAACAGAAAATTCCCCCGCAAAGCCACGTCCCACGACAATACCACCTTGGTCCTCCTCGGCTTAAGTCCCACAGTTTTTTATTTTTTGCCCCCCATCGAAGCCCACATTATTATCTCTAATAAAAGACTTTTTGTTAATGAGTTGCTCGTGAATTGTTTATTAAATAAAGATTATTATATCGACAGAACATTTCTTTGATATCAAAAAATCAATGTACGCAAGAACAATAGCGGGGTCGGTCTCTCAGCCACTCTCTTTTGTGAAGTCCGGTCGGGCCCCTTGAACAGTTCATGTGTCCCATCCGTGTTACCACCGATATTGCCAGATTAAATTCCCGGTGGCACCAATGCATCGAAATTTCTTTTTTTGGTCGCTAAACCTTCGAGCTCATACTGACGTAATAAAAATAATATGTCCATCACAAGGAATTTTGAACTTTGCTCATTGTGTAAATCTTTTTTTTGTGCCACCAATACTCCAAAAATTCGTACCAATGTGACATAAATTGAAAGTTTGGGGCATTGATGTTAGTGGAAGATGTAGTTTAGAAAAAAAAAATTTGTGGTATTAGTCCATGATAAAAGGAATTAGTTTTGGATCACAACGAGGAGGGAGTATTAGCGATGGACCATTTATTTTGTGTTTAAATTTTTTTTGCCCAAAATCCAGCTAACAGTAACAACCCCGTGATTTGAGGCCAGAGATCCTTTTGCACCTGGACCTCTAAACCATCCGTCGTCTTATGCCCCCCATCTTCAACGGCTCGGCTCGGCTCGGCTCGGTTTTGGAACCCCGCTTTATATATAGACGCTGGGCACTGGAGCGCTTACTGTCACTCTCAGTCTCGTCGGGGGCAGCAGATTACATATGGATTCACTTTTCTGAAAGACAAGCCTTTTCATCTCGTCTCTCTCTCTGTCTCTCTCGCTCGCGCTCCGGCTGGCAGGTTCGACGCCTTCAATCTCTTAGCTCCGTCCCTCGATCCTTTGTCATCGTTCTCGTGGAATTCGTAGAAATCGATGGTTCTTTTCCATGTCCGCGTCGTCATTTTGTTTTTTTTGCCCCCGCCGCATCGTCCTCGTGTAGATTGGCCAGGCTCAATTCTTGGTGGAGATCAGAGAACCCTCTTGCCTGTTGAACTAAGTCGATTCGGACTGATTAATGGCAGGGTTGACATGCTCACCACCCTTGCCTTGCGTCAATCTCAGCCATCTGTGTTTTCTTTAAGCAACTCTCTTTTAAGGTTTCCCAGTTGCGTCTTTCTTGACCCTTTTACGGTGGATTTTCGATCTGATGAGTGTAATGGGTTGTGGGTAGGAGGTATTTTCGCGGGTATGGCCCAAATTTACGTTATGTTGCTCCGTACTGAGGAGTCGCGTTCTAGATTTTTTGTCTAAATGGCTGCGGATTGTGTGAGCTCATGTGGGGTTTTGTTTCAGCTGAACTGATTGAATTCGGATCAGATGGACACGGACAACAAGTTCTTCAATGTGGGTGTCTTGCTTGTGGCCACTCTCATTGTGGCCAAGCTAATCTCGGCATTGCTAATTCCGAGATCCGGAAAGCGCCTCCCCCCTGTTGTTAGGACATGGCCGGCGATTGGCGGGCTGCTCCGGTTCTTGAAGGGTCCGATTGTGATGCTACGGGAAGAGTACCCCAAGCTCGGGAGTGTATTCACTCTTAATCTGTTGAACAAGAAAATTACGTTCTTTATTGGCCCCGAGGTGTCTGCGCACTTCTTCAAGGCTTCCGAGTCTGATTTGAGCCAGCAAGAAGTGTACCAGTTCAATGTGCCGACTTTCGGACCTGGAGTTGTCTTCGATGTCAATTACACCATAAGGCAAGAGCAGTTTCGGTTTTTCACCGAGGCTTTGAGGATTAATAAGCTTAAGGGGTATGTCAATCAGATGGTTTTGGAAGCAGAGGTGAGCTGATGGTTGAAAGTTACTTATTTATCTGTTATATTACTTGGTTCATGTGGGTTAGGTTTGCGTAAACTCATCTCACTGTTTATACTTTAAAATTTGGGGCATTGATGTTCAGTGTATGAGGAAACGAACAGATCTTGAACTTGTCAGGTGACGGCTGTTAGCTCCGAGTAATGTACTGTCAGATTGAAAGACAGAGGAAATTTTTTTTCAGTACCTCTAGAGCTATCCGGATGTAAGTAGTTAAGCCGAAGGACTGTTCATACTCTATGTCAAGGTTAGCTTGAGCTGAAGGGTTCATAAGTATGGGGGACAGCGCCATAAATGTGTCAGTAGCCATAGGTCGAGCCCCGTTCACTTCCTTTAAAAAAAAAACAAGAAAATACGAAGAGGCAAATATTGCAACAATAAGTATATCATGCTTTTTACTGTTTCCCCCTATCGATACACATTCTTATAGTTTTACTCTCCTTTCTTATTTGAAGCTTTATGTTAGCCTCTTGCTTAGTATGTAAAACTCTGCAGGACTACTTCTCAAAATGGGGAGATAGTGGTGAGGTGGACCTAAAGTATGAGCTTGAGCATTTGACCATATTGACAGCGAGCAGATGTCTTTTGGGTCGAGAGGTTCGTGAGAAGCTCTTTGACGACGTGTCAGCCCTATTCCACGACCTTGACAATGGAATGCTGCCCATCAGTGTCGTCTTCCCCTACCTGCCCATCCCAGCTCACCGTCGTCGTGATCGGGCCCGGAAGAGGCTCTCTGAGATTTTCGCAAGCATCATTTCTTCACGCAAATCTGCTGGCAAATCAGAAGAAGACATGTTGCAGTGCTTCATTGACTCAAAGTACAAAAATGGTCGCCCGACAACTGAAGCCGAGGTCACTGGCCTGCTTATTGCTGCTCTCTTTGCAGGGCAGCACACCAGTTCTATCACTTCCACCTGGACTGGGGCCTACCTCCTCACCAACAAGAAGTACCTCTCTAGTGTCTTGGATGAACAGAAGCACCTGATGGAGGAGCATGGGAACAATGTTGATCACGATGTTCTGTCTGAAATGGATGTCCTTTATCGGTGCATCAAGGAAGCACTGAGACTTCACCCGCCTCTAATTATGCTGCTCCGAAGCTCGCACAGTGATTTCAGTGTCAAAACACGGGATGGCAAGGAATATGACATCCCAAAGGGCCACATCGTGGCTACTTCGCCTGCTTTTGCTAATAGGCTTCCGCACGTTTATCAGGATCCAAACAAATATGATCCAGACAGATTTGGAGTGGGCAGAGAAGAAGACAAGGTGGCAGGCGCATTTTCTTATATTTCTTTTGGAGGCGGTAGGCATGGGTGCCTTGGTGAACCATTTGCCTACTTGCAAATTAAAGCAATATGGACTCACCTGTTGAGAAACTTCGAGCTGGAGTTGGTTTCACCTTTCCCAGAGATCGACTGGAATGCCATGGTGGTGGGTGTCAAGGATAAAGTTATGGTGAGGTACAAGCGCCGTCAGCTCTCTGTGTAGAAGAGAGGCCTTACAGAGGCCTTGGTCGTAAAGCCGTCATCGTCTTCTTTCATGCCCCTAGAGACAGCCTTGCTCCTTTTTTAGCTTCTGGTGTTTCTGTTTGTGTTGAAATTAGGGAGTTTTAGCTTCAGCTTGTTTGTGACTATTGTAGCTTAAGACCAGAGCTCGTCATGTTTCAGTTATTAGTTGCTCGAGATTGGGTTGCTGCATATGTGTTGATTACTTTTTAGAGCAACGAACTTTTTCATCAACTTGCCATCATTATTTCTCTCCTAGAAACATCCAGATATCAAAATCGGTTGCAGTTCTACTACCCTAGCATGGCCTCGAGTTAATGAGCGGTGGGAAAGCTGGATAATGGATAATGTAATGTTGCACTTGGCCCACTTGCCCTGAATCACTTTCAAGTGCATGCTTAAAAGTTAGAGCCTCATTTTAACGATCATAAGAATGAAGTGGAATACCCACGGCTCTGTACTGCGGCATTGGAGGCAGCACAAAACTGGCGATATAGGTGAGCAGACATAATGTTGGCCGATCAATGTGTGCTTTCATGTTTTGGAGGATCCTTATCAGGGAATGCATCTCAATAAAGTGCAAGTGAAACCCTATCACGCACCGCAGGCGAGTACATGGCATGCGTAATAAACTGATCTAAAGCGATCACGACAAATCACGAACCATGCCCCACGGGCTCCAAAGTCCCCAATAAGTCTCCGTATTCACACTCATGTGCCTGATGCATTAGTATTGGTCTCGCTCAAGTTCAGGCTCATACCAGATGCCCTACGTCATAGGTACATAATTGATTGGCATTTTGGCTAAGCAAGGACATGCAAATTTCACAATTTGAGCTGGGGTATTTTACAATTCAATAAAGAACCATAGGATTTCTCCTTTTCTTGTCTATGAAGCCTAATCCCGTTCATCTACTCGCGACTCAATAATAAGCACAAACCATAAGCCTAGGATAGCAGATAATAGAGCCATCGACCATCCTTACAAAATCAAAGCACGCAGTTCAGCTTTTCAACGATTGCCTTCTATGAAAAGACGGAGTAAAACATGTCCGGAGCAAAAACCCGACTCCCAACTGATCCTCACCACATCATAAATGCCAACTCTATGATTACGCAAAAGAAATCCAACAAATATCCAGACGCGCCACCTTCCTGTAGCTGAGAAGAAAATCAGCTGATGACAGCATGCAGAACCCTCACTATGCAAACACCTCCAGCCGACCCGTACACAGACGTGCCTACCAGTTTGAAGCCTCAACAGCAAATTAAGAAGCCTCAACAGCTGTGTACGTGCCTACCCGTATACAGACGTGCATGATACCAAGGGCCTACCCGTATACAGACGTGCATGATACCAAGGGAACTTCACAAGCTCATCTGAATTTATAGTCAAGTCGACCTTTAAAAAAAGCTTGACCACATTGTCACACTGCCAGAAGCTTTATCGGCTAGACAACATTACATCAGATGGAATATTTAACTATACATGACTCCAGGAAATAAAGGTAAAGGCACAAGCAATTGCGAGGGAGCTAAACAGAAGTCTTAATAGTCTTACTAAGAATTAAGATTGTGAATGAGATCCACACTACTCAGGCAGGTTAATCAAGATAAAATTAGAGACAGTACATTCCGAACTAAATAAACTAGCGTAATCCAGTTCCATTATTCCAAAAAGATGCTAACCAGAACTGGCAGCAAAGATCCAGTATCCAGAATCGTAATGCAAATCGAACAGGTCCAATTGCAAGATGAAATGAAAGCCGAAAAAGCAAGACACTCGTCTTTATTTTTGCTTGCTACAAGAACAAAAAGAATAAGCATGCATTTCAGCAGTAAAAACAGCCTTCAACATACAGTCAGCATCAGCATTTCTTAACCGATCAGTAACTTATGCTCCTCCAAGAAGCTGTAAGTAGGCACCTCCAAATTGTATGGCGCCGGTCCCTTGCGAATCCTGCCAGAAATGTCATAGTGTGAACCATGGCAAGGGCAAAACCAACCACCAAAATCACCAGCATTTGGCAATGGGATACACCCCAAATGAGTACAAACTCCAACTAAAATAAGCCACTCTGGGTTCTTAACTCTTGCAGAGTCCTCTTGTGGGTCACGGAGGGAAGCCAAATCAACAGTGTTGGCCAGCTGAATGTCCTCTTCAGTACGGCGCCTGATGAACACCGGCTTACCACGCCATTTAACAGTAACAGTCGTCCCAGGCTCAATGCTGGATAAGTCAACCTCGAGGGAAGCAAGGGCAAGGACATCCTTACTCGCTGACATACTCAGGACAAACTTGAGGACCAGAAGACGGATCAAGGATGCATAGACGAACCTACCACCTGACAACACAAAGTATGCAAAAGCACGCTTGCTAGGATCACCTGGTGGATATCGCTCATGATTATACTCATCATACACAATCTTTGATGTTGGGTTCTTCACAGCTGCCACGGTGGCTGGAAGGTCTGCGACCATACCCATATCATGTGCTGGTGTCAAGGCCTCAGAAGAAAATCCTGAGACAGCAAAGAACCCACTTACAACACCAATGTCAAGACAAAGATCTTAGACATCTGAAAAAAATTCTCCTAGTATTTTTTTTCCCCACAGACCATCCCTGCAAGAGGGGAAGAATCTTAATAGGGAATGTTATAATGAAGAACAAATTTCTTTGCTTAACTTAAGGACAAGGAGTATGTTTTTTTGCCCACTTAAACACCTTCTTAGCAATCATGAACATGGTATAAGGGTAGAGTACAATGAAGCATTCATCACTATTTGATCGAGGAAAAACTATTATGTGCAATGACAATAAGATGCCCGCTAACCATGGAAAGCTAATATCATAGAAATCCTTGGAGCACAAGGAAATGCAACCTAAACTCGCGAAGCTATAAGCAAGCCCAAGGTATGCAGGTGTGCAAGATGTCAGAACTCAAATTTTAGCTAGACTCGACAAATGGAACCTGATGCAACAAAATTTTAACCCCTTGTACCCAACTCAGTCTCCCAATCAAGTTGCTATGTGACAACCCAAACTTTACTTAGCGACTAAATTAGATTAAGTAAATGGTTGCCATTTTCGGTTTAGAAACTTGACGATGGTTAAAAGGACAAATAATTGATTCAAGTCAAAATGGTCAATGTCTTGCATGAAATTGCATCGTGAAGGACACGTGGCTTATCTGCATGCAAGAACATAACTCAAGGACATAGTTATATGCACGAGGTTGCTAAGTGGATGAACATTACTCTTAGGGGTCATGATTAAAGCTTCACCCTGTAAATAGATTCTTTAGCTATCTCGACAGATATCGAGAACAAATTTGGAAAAGAACGCCAAAACCATCAACCTAATTATGCTATAGCTTTACAGAACTGTGGACCATATCTTTTCACCAAAATCTCCACCTTAACTTGTGCGGTCACGATGGGACACAACAAGACTTCTAAATCCAAAAGCCCTAATACTATGCACAAAGCTAAATATCACAAAATGCGCCTAAGATGTAGCATTCGGATTGTAGACATGTGCAAGATGCCTCACTCACTAACCCTGAGAGCTTAGAAAGTACTAGCCCATCCAAGGAGTGAAAAATGGATAACAGGACCAGGGTACATCTGCATAAATACAAAGCTAGAAAAAACCATAGATCCGATCTCAATATATCCTAACACCTGAAATATGTCGCCAAAAAAAATTAAGATTTCATAGCCTTCCCACCGCAATGCGGAGGCATAGGAGGTGCAATCTAAACTGCTGAGTCCCACGAAGATTGCTCCAAATTCCCACTGTAAGCTCCTCCCATTGGGCTTATTGATCTCCTTACAACTCTCCCACTCCACAGACGCATCGATTTCAATCTTCGTCAAATTCTCAAATTTGCCTTTGCTGGATGGACCAGTTAGAGCCTAAGCATGAGCACCGCTCAGAGGACCCATATACTAATCAAAACCGCTGGTCTACCCAAATTCATTCCCCCACTCAAAGGAACGGACGAAGCTTCCCGAATTTAGAATCCCATGGCTTGGGAGACGAACCGCGCTTAAAAAACCAAATCTTGAGCGCTCATTGGGGATGCAAGCAATCTGACCTCTGATCGGAAACCGGAACTGCGGGGGCAGAGAAGGCGACGGGTTCTGGGACGGTTCGGATCTGGAAGAGAAATCGGAGCCGAGGTCATGGCTTCGAGAGAGAGAGGCAGCTGCCGGCGACGACTGCGACGGCCTCCAGGATAGAGAAGAGAGCCTCCTCCCCGCGATTCTCAGCATTTCTTCGCCTTGGTCCTCCTCGTCCCCTTCTCTGCTCCTTGCTTTCTGAATGATTGATAGGGTTTGGGAAGGATCTCTTCTTTATTCTTCCCTTTGCATGCGAAAAATGGTTCTGTCGGAGAGGATGGGGGAGATTAGAAGCTTTAAGTTTTTAGCGTTAATCAAGTCAACGTGTGCCGTCTTAGCTCAGCCGGTAGAGCGCATGGCTTTTAACCATGTGGTCGTGGGTTCGATTCCCACAGACGGCGATGATTTTGTCAAATAATCATGAAATTTGAATTTAATCTTACGTTTTGGCGAAAAGGTGCATAATTTATAACTCTAGCGAATCTTTATGTATTCATATTTTGCTACATCTTACCTATCAAATAAAGTTAGTTTTACCCTAATTTACAGTGAATATTATATTAAAGTTTCGCGGTGATAAAAATGCGAATTTATTAACATCGAAAGGAATTGTGAATATCTTGCTTTATCAAGCATGTTTGATGGAAGATATTTTTTTATAACTTTCCTTGTTCGTTTCACGAACAGTACCATGTACAAATGGGCAATCATTCGCATGCATAACTAATTTTTTGTCGTTGCTTTATACTCGAGAGCAACTGTCTGCAAAGTGTTGCATTAAATTCCTCGATCGTGGTATTATGTAATTTTCGAGAGCAACTGCCTACGTTCTATAATAAATTTCTAAGATTAGACTGTTATGTAACGACCGATACCAATTGTTTGCATTTTATGGTAAACTTTTTAAAATAGATCATTATGTAACGACCAAAAATGCTATTTAAATTTCCTAAACCATTCATTGTTATTTTAAGACAAGTTCATCGTACTATTTCTGAGAGAAATTAGTGGCCCAATACATCGCAAAACAGCAAGAGCACCTCTTTAGTAAATTCCTCGATCATGACATTATAAAAAGATCAAGAGCAATTTATGATAAATTTTTTAGATTATACCGTTATTTAACGGCCAAGAGCAATTGTTCCAATTTTATGATAAACACTTTAGAATAGACCATTATGTAACGACCATGAATGCTATTTAAATTTCCCAAACCATTCATTGTTATTTTTGGACAAGTTTATCGTACTAGCGCTGAGAGAAACCGGTGGCACAATACATCGAAATTTTTAATCAACCGTTTATACAACAATAAGAGCACCTCTTCAGTGAATTAGAAGGGTGATATGCATAGTGTAAGGGTCCAGAGGTTTCTAAGGTAAAATGTTGCGAGAAATTATTCAAGATAGCCTGGTAAGCCTTGAAACTTTTAAGAACCTTTCTTGATTTCTCCAGAACATTCTTGAGGGTAATATGGGAAAGTTACACAAGGTTGATCCGGAGTAATTTTAAGATGGAAAACGGGAAACATACTAGTATTCTAGAGACTTTTCATAAATCTCAATCGTAAGATTGAGTTTGAGATCAACGACCGTAATTTGAAGGATTCCTATATAAATAGGGATTCACATCTTCAAACTCTAGATATCATTTTCCCGATGCTCAAATCTTTCTTTCTCACCTGTGAATCTCATCAATTTATTCAAATATCTCTCCCGAAACTACTCGTTTCTAATTTTGCACGAGTTCATTATTTTCTCGGCAAGATCGACTTGCCACATACCACGTCAAATCCTTTGTGCACAAGAAACAATTTTGCACGAGTTCGTTATTTTATGGGCAAGATCGACTCGCCACATACTGCGTCGAATCCTTTGCGCACAAGAAACAACATTTTTCGGATTCCTTTAATGCTTCACCACTTTCCAGTACAGATAACCAACACAAAATGTTGCAATTTTTTCCTTTTATTGATCTTATTTGCGGAATCATTGTCTCCGTCGCCAAGCTAATCCCTAAATCGAAACAAACAACATTCACCTATAAATAATGTAGTTACCCGCGAAATCTGAGTAAATAACTAACATAGTAATGGTAATAAGGAGTACATCTATGTCATTAGTCATGACAATTGTTGTTGTTGCTTAGCTTATTTAACAGATAGTGAAATTTTCCACGCAACACACTAAATTCTAACATATGTAAAGGGTGACGGTTTTTCTTCATTAATGCGAAACCACTTTATAGTATGAAAAACATATACGGAAATGTACATAATATTTTCATTATCGTTGATACTTCAAAGGTTATTATCTAGATCTAAATGAGTATATCCAAATAAACGAACAAAAAATTTACCCCAGAGTATGGATTTTCCTATGATCAATATAATCAATACTTCTTTTCCATTATAGCTAAAGGATTTCTTAAGAAACTAGACACTACCTTTTAAAGTGCATCATTTCGTTCCTCCTATATTATTTCTAACTTGCACGCGGAAAGTAAAGATATTAACTTCTCGATAGTCAAATATTTCTTTCTCATCCACCATACCGTATTTAAAAGTACCTGTTAATCTCATCAATTTATTATAAGATATCTCTTCTGAAATCGCTCATTTCTATTTTTGCACAAGTTCGTTATTTTATTGGCAAGATAGACTTGCCGCGTGCCATGTCGAATCATTTACGCACGAGAAGCAATGTTGTCGGGTTCCTTTAATGCTCTACCACTTTCTAGTACTGATAACATACGTAAAATGTTATGACCTTTTTCTTTTATCGGTCTTATTTGTGGAAACATCGTCTTTGCCGGCAGCGAGTGTATCCCTAAATCGAAACAAACGACATTCACCTATAAATGATGTAGTTAGATTGCCGAATCAATATTTTTAGTGCCGTCCCTCGCAAAATCTAAGTAAACAACATGACAATGAGGAGCACTATAGCAGCCTTATCTCCTCATAAATACAAAGAGCACGAAAAAGAAAGAAATCCAGGAAGAAAATTAAGGACGTGATCTATACCGGGCCGTGCCACGTTGTGGCCCAATCCATACACAGTAAGAAAATCTGGCACAAAAGGAGCTGGATTCTAATGGTAAAGTCCCTATCTGACCAGCAGGATTTGCGCGAGATGGTTCACAAAATCCAAAAATTAATGAAACTACGAACGCCCATCCATAATTACTAATGACTTTCCCCTGCAACGAGACCAATTCGCAAGACCAATAAAGTAAAAAAAACAAAAAAAGAAAAAAGAAAAAGGAAATTAGTATCTCAGCCCTGCAACCTATGAATTAGCATGTAATGATGAGCTTAGACTTTTCTGCCCCATTTCTCGTGTTTCCATATTTTTGTCCGCCGAATTTATGGAATTTCCCATACATTTTCCTGCCACGGGTCATTTTCAGTAAAAAGAGCAAAAAAAAAACCCACCTCCCCAAAACAGGAGGAGGAGGAGCTTGCATTTTGGGAAACGGCAGAAAAAGAAAAAAATGGTTTTCCCATACAGGGCGTGAGGGGGGCCGTAAGAGGGAAAAATTCAAAATCGGTCCTCCGCGAATTCTGAATTTCGAGGAACCCCGCCCGATTTTTATTTCCCCGAATGAATTTCGATTTTTCTTTTTTTTTGGGTTTTTAATTAATTTCGGGGCATTTAATAATTTGCTATTTTTCGGATCACCATCGCCTTCCCACTGTCCGTCTCTCTCCTTTAAATATTGCCTCCACTTTCACTTGACCCCATGACCAATCCTCTCCTCTCCTTACTCAACCGCTTCATACTCTGTCGCTCTCTGATTTGCCCCCCTCCCGTTTCTCTCTCTCCCTCTTCCTCTCTCTCTCTCTCTCTCTCTCTCTCTCTCGTTCGAACTTCAAAAAACCTCCGTCTCGCCTCCGGCTTATCCTGCTCCCCGCTGGCCATGGCGCACGTTAGCGACCTCCCCTGCGACGGCGACGGCATTTGCATGGTCTGCAAGGGGAAGCCGTCGGCCGACGAAGCCCTCACGTGCAGGACCTGCGCGACGCCCTGGCACGTCGCCTGCCTCTCCTCACGGCCCCCGACCATGGCTGACGCCGTCCAGTGGGAGTGCCCCGACTGCTCCCTCCTGCTCGTCGCCGGGCCCGAGCCCCCGAAGCCCGTCGCGATCGCGGCCGGGGCGGGGGCCTCCGGCGATCTGCTGGCGGCGATCCGCGCGATCGAGACGGACGATTCGCTGAGCGAGCTGGAGAAGGCGAAGCGTCGGCAGGAGCTCCTGAGCGGCGGCGCGGGGGCCGCCGAGGGCGAGGACCGGAAGGAGAAGGGCAATGGCGTGCTCGACATTCTCGACGGGAGCTTGAACTGCTCGTTTTGCATGCAGCTGCCGGAGAGGCCGGTCACGGTGAGCCTCTTTTTTCCCAGTCTGTTTGATCTTATCGCTTCGTGAAGCTCAATGGAGTTGTTTCTGGTTGTTCATTGCGGTTACCGATATCTCGCGGAAGTCCGTTTCGCTTCGTTTCATTTTCTTTTTTTCTTTTTGGTCTTTGGCTTTATCTTAAGCAGTTTAATCTGAAGTTGCATCCGTTCACAAGTAGTTGTTTATTCGTTGCCCAGGTGTTTTAGCGGATTGATTTTACATCTCAATCGAGTACAGTAAATGGCGAACATCGGATTCTCAGCTATCGATGGCTTTTTTATTTTTTGTATTCCCACGAGTCACCATTTCTTTCACTCTCCTGCATCGGTTATAGTTCCAGTCGTTTTAGGACCTTGTCGTTTTGTGCTACTGCTCTAATCTGTTGGTTGAATCTTGTCCGTAGTAGCTTACATTTCGCCTATTGCCAGGCGCCTTTCTATGTACAACTAAACAAGTCACACTCGTGTTTGTTGGGCTAATTTTAACCTCATATTGTTGCAAGTTAGCGTTGAAGATCATTGTTTACGAGTCGCACTTGTTGCCGAACAAATTTAGCCCAGTCATTTTGTAATGAATGAGACTTGGTTTTACCCATCAGAAAAAAAGGGACACCATGTTCCATTTGATGCTAAAATCTGCTTTCTGTATCCTGTTACAGACGCCTTGCGGGCACAACTTCTGCTTGAAGTGTTTCCAGAAATGGATTGGGCAGGGGAAGCGCACCTGCGCGAATTGTCGCCATGAAATTCCGGCGAAGATGGCGAGCCAGCCTCGAATCAATTCTGCACTTGTTATAGCCATCAGAATGGCGAAGATGTCAAAATCAAACAGTGAGAGTGCACAGGCCAAGGTCTATCATTTTATCCACAACCAGAACCGGCCTGACAAGGCATTCACTACTGAGAGGGCAAAGAGGGCCGGAAAGGCCAACGCTTGTAGTGGAAAGATCTTTGTTACCGTTGCTCCGGATCACTTTGGTCCAATCCTTGCAGATAATGATCCAGAGAGAAACCAGGGTGTGTTGGTTGGAGAGACTTGGGAAGATAGGATGGAATGCAGACAATGGGGTGTGCACCTTCCTCATGTTGCAGGGATTGCGGGGCAGTCGACGCATGGTGCGCAGTCTGTGGCTCTTTCGGGGGGCTATCAAGACGATGAGGATCACGGCGAGTGGTTCCTCTACACAGGGAGGTATTTCATTTCCGCTGTTTTTTTTTTATTCTTTGGACTATTTGCTAGCTTGTCTTGCATCCCAATGAGGGAAAGTGTTTAAGAATCTTAGGCCACCACTGAGAAGCAAATCTCTCTGTCTGTCATTTGTTGACTAGTCCTTTTTTTTTTTATCTGAAGTTATTGGCTTTTACTTAATTTAATATCAATAATCTAATGATGGGTTCCAGGTTGTGGCTGGGGCTCATTGCTTAGGAAATCCTAGTGAGGGTTTTGCTTTTGACACACATTTATTTACTAGCAAATATTTTTTTACTGCATGATCGCTAAAATGAAACTTGAGCAGACACTGATGAGAAAGCACCACACCCTCAATTTGTTTCCTGTTTGAGTAATGTTGTAGTGATTGTTATTCCTATCTTCCATTAATGTGTCAATGATGGATGACCATAATTTTGATTGCTTTATAGCGGTGGAAGAGACCTTACTGGCAACAGGAGAACAAATAAGGAACAATGTAAGGATCAGAAGTTCGAAAAGTTGAATGAGGCATTACGAGTAAGTTGCAAGAAAGGGTATCCTGTCCGAGTAGTGAGGTGAGTTCACATCATTAATTCTTGCTAAAGTGACAGATTCTTCTTACTGGACTAGCCGTTGCCAGAAATGTTGTGCAAATTGGTGATGTGCATGATCCTTACTGGTTATTTTATGTCAGCTTTTTGTAGTGCTAATGAAGGATAGAAATGCACTTACATTCACAGTTATTCCTTTGTATAATTGATATTTTTTTTTTGGCCAAAGATGGTTTGATATGTGGATATAATAGGTTAAGGTTTTCAGGTAGGAAAGAACCAGGTTGTATGGAGGTGATCATATATGGATAGATTCTGTGACATTGCCTTGAATTTTATCTGCTGCAAAGGACTATCTTTCGTATTAAATGACACAATATACAAGAACAGCCATGTTTGGATTAGCATTAATGTGTTTGCATAACTTCCATAATCATTACCTTGGCTAATCCAATTCGATAGTTGTTGCATTGCATAAAGTACACTGCATTCTGAAGAAGGAGAATGTTAGAGTTAATTCTCCATTTCCCAGTATTGTTCAAGAAGTGTTTTGCTGCACTATGGGTTAACATTTCCCTTGATGGCAGGTCACACAAAGAAAAACGTTCTGCTTATGCTCCAGAAACAGGGGTGCGATATGATGGTATATACAGAATTGAGAAGTGCTGGCGTAAAGTGGGGATCCAAGTATGATTATTGGCACATTGATCTTGTTGCATAATACACATTGCTTTGTTTTAGTCTCATTGTTAACAGATAGTTATTATGTCCCAGGGTCGCGTGGTATGCAGGTATCTTTTTGTACGATGTGATAATGATCCTGCCCCTTGGACGAGGTTAGTATCTTGCACTCTCTCTTCCTTCTTTGTTTTCATCCTCCCATAACACATTTGTGTTTTCAAAATCGATGTGAAGTGATGATCATGGGGATCGACCAAGGCCACTCCCGATTGTTAAGGAGTTGAAAGGTGCCAAAGATGTTACTGAGAGGAAAGAACCTCCATCCTGGGATTATGATGTAAGTCTGTTCACTTTCATACACATTCTTTGGCTTGTTTTGTCGACTGTAAAATGGAGAATTTTTGTTCTTAGGCGGAAAAGGGCTGCTGGATGTGGAAGAAGCCTCCCCCTAGGAGTAGGAAAAGTTATAATTGGGGAATGGAGGATGGGAAGGGACTGAGGAGAAGCAGGAAGCACTCACATAAGTCAGTCAGAGAGAAGCTCCTCAAAGGTAAAATTTGATGGTTTTTTCAGTTTTTGGAGAATTACTTGTGATAATACTTTACTCATTCCTACTTCATTGAAAACTTATATATTGATGGTCAATGATGCAGAATTTAGCTGTCAAATATGTCGGAATGTGATGAATTTACCTCTGACTACGCCATGTGCGCATAACTTCTGCAAAGCATGTCTAGAGGGAGCCTTTGCTGGACAAAGTTTCATGAGACAGAGGACTTGTGAAGGCAGAAGGACGCTACGTGCGCAGAAGAATATAATGAAATGCCCATCATGTTCAATTGACATTTCTGATTTTCTTCAAAATCCACAGGTACGGCGCAATTATTTTCTCAGGATTTCATTATCCTATTTGAGATGGGTGACTTCTATGGTGTCATTTGGCATTTTCACATTGGAGCTTGTATAATAGGATGGCTTTAAAATTTTGAAGGCCCTAAAATGTGCTTCAGAATCAATGATCATCCACAGGAAAAGGTTTAAAAGCCAATTGATGACCAAGTGGATGGGAATGGTTGAAGCATTTCTACGTTATCACTGTGTCTGGTTTATTTGTTTTGTTGTGTTGGTAGGCTCACGAGGCTTTGACATCCATGACAGGTAAACAGAGAGCTAATGGGTGTGATAGAAACACTTCAGCGACAGGCACTTGAGGAGGAGGAGGAGGAGGAGGAGGAGGATGAAAACTCCGAGTCAAGTGAGGAAGCTGATGGCACTCGGAACAATTTGGAAAATGATGCTGAAGATGTTGAAAATGATGCTGAAGATATGGAAAATGATGATGCAGAAGATGAAATCTCTGAGGAAACTGAGATACTGTTGAAACCGGAGGCTGAAACTGAAAAGCAGGAAGCCTGCAAGCAGAAGGCTGAAAATCCTGGCAATTGCATTTCAGATCTTGTCCAATCTGATGCTGCAGATGCTGAACTTCAGGTTGACCTCAATCAGCAAGAAGATGCTGAAGATGAAGAGGCGAATATGGCTGTGGCAGAGAGTAATGCCAGGCTGCTCCGAAAACGGAAGAACTGCAATGATGTAGTTAGTCCAGGGAAGTTGGATGCTGGAGTCGCAACCAAGAGCAAGAGGGTCAAAATGGCGGCAGCAAATTGATTTTTAGCTGTGGTCAAATTCCCTATCCTTGAATCTGAACATGTTGGATATTTTTACTTATTGTTTGTAGATGTCTCTCCTCATTGGTCCAAGCACAGCTTGATCATGCTTTTAGATCTTACTTTCTTTGGGTGGTCTAAGGACAGGATAGTGAAGAACAAATCATGAAAGGTATAGGGACCTTAGTGTTTTGTTGTTTTTGGTGGTTCCTATAAAAAGTTTATTTCCTGTTTTGAAGGCAAGAATGTGGGCTACAGAGTCTTGTTTAGGTGCTGGTGATATTCTTGTCAAGCTAGAGATTACATCATTTTCAATACAAAAGTGCCTTTTCGCTTTGCAAAAATAGGGAATCAGTGGATTTTGCGTGTGTGCAGTGACATTTCCTTTAACGGGTCAAGAGCTGTTTTGTCTTTGTGCTTTATGGTAGAAGATTTTCTCTTGGAATGGATCTCCGTCAATCACTGAAGCAGATATATCGATTAACTGTTCGAATAATTTGAGCCTCTGCATACGGTGGTCTCAAGTATACATGGACTCTTGATCGGTCCGGTGCACTCGAGACTACAATTTTTTTTATATGAAACGGAGTCCTACATCGGTTGGATAAGGGGTTGTGACGTAGTAAATAACGCGGTTAGCCCAATTTCCTAGTCCGGTCGCTTTGCGACTCAGGCCCCCGCATTTGTTTTTGCTCCATGATTTTAGTCCTAATCAATGATGCCTCAGATGAAACTTCTCTTGTTGTTTTCTAAATTTCGCTTGGTGGTGCCATTCCAGCATGGGATTCCATTGTACTGCAAAAGCCAAGTTTGTATTGGTACAAATTGAACTTCTCTCGTCAGGCTTCTTTAGCCTTCTGACCGAGCCAATTTCTGTCCTTCGGGCGGCCAATTGATGCATGAAGTCGTGCAGCTTTATAACTCGAACATTTTCTACCGGTTAAGGTAAAAAATGATCGATGGACAAGTTCGTGAATTTCAAAGAGCAAAATGATATCTTAACTCTTCACGAATGAAATTCAATTCGAATTTCATCGACAAAAATGTGAGCTATCCAAAGAGTCGTTCATACTTTTGTAGTGTCTCCTCCTCTAATGCCTCCTTTTTGATGTCTTCACAAGTGGCAAAAGATTGAGGAGACCGAGAGTAAAGTAGTACCGACCGAGCAACTTCATGGCCAAAAGGAATTTAAAGGGATAGAAGAGAGAGGATAACTAGAATTGTCGAATGTCTCGGTTGGTTTATTTGAGGCAATCTCCCCGTTTGAGGAGGGGGCACTTCGAAGTTCTAATTCTCCGGTGTGGTATTTTTGTGCGAATTATGGTGTAGTGTCCTCGTTTGTCAGTAAAAGATCAAGGGAAATGAGAGAGTTTACGTGCAGAGCCCAGGCGCCCGTGCACGCTGGAGGCTCAAGCCATCATTGAATGTACGAAGTACATGTCTGCATTGTAGTATCTCTAGGTTTCACTTTCACAGGAGACCCGCCGCTCTGTGAGCCGTAGTGTTACGATGCAGGTTTCATTTTCCCGGAAGACCCACCAAAATCAAGGATCGAGATCTATTTAGTACACTTCAAATTTTTTACGCACACTATCGAAGTACAGATTAAGTCCGGTTCAGCTATGCCAATGCTGAATCTGGCATTGGCATGAGGCGCAAAACATTGTAGTCACTGTCGTGCCATCTGCTTGAACACCCAAACTCACCCTTGACAGTAGCAGGCATGTAAAAGAATAGCAGGGGTGTTATTTTACTGGGAAATCAGGAATATTGCACGAGTGACTGGTTGTTCTCCTTCTCATACCTTCAACCTCCATTGATAGCAAGTCGACAACAATGTTTTTACGGCAAGGACTGTGCTTTGCATGAAGACAGAGACCAATAGGCGATGGATCCCATGGTGAAACTTAGAAATACCAATGCCCCTTCTTTTCTGGCAGCCCAGACATTGGTTCAAGGGGAAGGTGATTAGAGTAACACTACAACTACAAAAGGAAAAGAAAAAAATGTAAGGAATTGAAATACACCATTGAGGACGTTCCTCTTTAAGAAGAGTTCATCGATCTCGAAAAGAGCAAGGAGAGAAATTTTATTGCAAACGATGACACTACTAATCATTTCAACAAAACATATAGCCACACTGACATTGTGCATCATTTTTCCTAAGTGCTTTGTTCCTTTTTCCAGCCAACAAAATGGTACTGGAAGACACTGACTTACAGTATAAGCACGACGTAACTACTAATTGCAGACATCTTCAAAACATTTCTGTGAGCAGTCCAACTTCTTGTCCATGTTATTCATCTTGATTCTTATGTACCCTATTGTTGCCAAAACTTGAGGATAGGTTTCAATTTTCGCGCTCCGCCCCTCTAGTTACGATTCTTTTCCAGCTCCAAGTTCTTGACCAGAGCTTGCTTTTCATCTTCAGGAAGAGAGTTGAACATGAAGATAGATTTATCACCAATGTCATCCTACACATACCGAAAACATATCAGAAGACTCCTAATAGGTACGCCCATCACCATTATGGTTTTTGACTAGATCGTACCTTTATAGGCTGAGTGAACTTTCTTCCAGCAAAGATCACGAAAAGGGCTATCCAGAAACCCAACAAAGTCGCCTTTACTCCATCATCCATCAAACCGGTCTGTAAATTTCACGAAAACGTATTGTCTGAATATCTGTCCAAATCCTAATAAAAGTAAATCTCCATATATCTTATAAGGAAAAATCTTGAAGAGTGCCCTTGGACACACGTTAAGAGTCATTGACAATGCTTTGGAAAATCTAATTTATTCTATTTGAGGTGGGCGACTTTCTTTTCCAAGTGCGTCAACACGCACCCTTACTAGTTTAAGTGGTTTTCTCTTAACTAGTACTCTCAGGACACATGTTTACAAGACCCGTATTATAGTAGTGATGCCACGCCATGGCAATAAACAACATTTATATGCCAGATACTCTATCATTATATTTTTCTCCTGCCTTTTCTAGTTGATAAAAGCACAAAAGACATGTTAATGATGTCATTGCACATATGTACGTACATAAATGAGGACCGAATGCTCTAACTAGGCATTCTGCACAAATGGGAAGTTTTAGACAGGAATTGACAAAAAGTGAGGTCAGTCCCTCATGCACCCAGAAGAAGAAAATGATGACTAAGTTCCATTTTGCAACCGGACCAATTTTCAGCAGGATTTTCATGCTGCATTATAGTAATGACTGACATGAAAGAAAGAAAGCCAAATATCTGCATCTAAACTTAAGAGGAGTTACCAGATGGCCAAGAAGAACAGTTGGAATAATGAATGTGAGAATGCCAGCTTCCAGCTTTCCATAGCAGAGGCCTACATTTGAATATGAATAATCAATACACAGAGTTAACACATCAAAAGGTATCATCTTAAGATGATAACTACAAATTCTAAAAATTATATTTCGACTATTTACGCTTTCTATTTGAATGCTACCTCATGTCTCAATTTTACTCAACCTTGAGCTGTGCTTCATAGAAGACTGATGTCAATGCGTGAAAAATAAATCACGATGTAAGGATGATTACGATTTCATATACGTCTCAGATTTTTCAAATGCTCCGTGAAACATAAATTGGAGGAAGTAGTGCTAAGATTAGAGAAGGTGTGTCAAAAACATCATTGCTTGTCAAGAGAAGCCACCAGCTGGTGGATCAGGATGGGGACGCGGATATTCACATAATCATTTTATATGAAGGAGTGGTAAGTTATGGCAATCATGTCAATCTACTGTACGCAGGAAGTAGGACATCAATTTATTATTTTCAAATGACCTTTCTCCTTTTGCCACTGCCATTATCTGGAGAAATCCTTAATTTTCCCTTTTTCTGTTAACTATCTGAAATTAGGGAAACTTGACGGTAAGTATGAACGGACCCTCAGTAATTTACACTACCCCATGGAATCTGAACTAAATAAGAGATAAGTAATTGGAAAAGAACAGCACGCAACCTTGATGTTACCTTCCTTAAAAACAAGTCCCGTGAGAGCAGCAAAGAGAGGACCAACAAACCATACTGCTGTTGGATTATCGGCAACATATTGTACCAAGCTCTCTCCAGATGGTTGAGCGAGGCACACATATGTTGCCAAAGAACTGACGACACCAAGTGCCCATAGAGCTTGAAGAGTGCGTTTAATCTCAGTAACATAGATGTGAATCAACAGCAATGATAAGCCCAATCCACCAGCTCCAAGGGTATAGAGTAAATCAAGATTCTGCCTGAGTATCTCACTCACCCAAGAATCTTCAGGTAAAAACATAGTCGAAGAAGCAGTCACAAAGGATGTGGCAGCGGTCACCAACCCAGATCTGTACAATATCACCTGATAGAAATCAATGGGGTACTGAAAATCTTGGGTGCAGATCGAAGTACAAGAAAAACAGGCACAAAACTTTGCCTAGCTAGGTTGTACAATCCTTATATAGATGGGGCTAGATAAGTATAAGTATTTATCAGAGTTATAATGTAATATTCATGGATGAATGCGGGGGCTGCCCCTATAATTGACTTGAGAAAACTTCTTTGATATTTGAACTCTCCTTTCTGGTAAGTCTGTTCACAAACAGCAAGTGCCCCTTAATTAACTTCTCCTCCTGTATTTCTATTGATTTTCTAAGTAAGCATGAGCTAGAAGTCATTATTGGCCCTTCCATGTTTCTGGCAGCACTATATTGATGTCATTAGGGACTGTAAAGCTCAAGTTTTAGCAGACAATTGACAACTATAAAGCCCACACGAATTTTGCAAGTTCTTACACCAGTGTACAAAACGAAAAGAATATTTTTAGCTATGACTAATATGACGAATCATCTCCATATCCATTGCAAAATCAACTAATAAATGATTGTTTGGTCATTTATATTCATCGAGACAAGTGCAAGTTCATCAACCACACCAAAATGCATTGAAGACATAAATAGAAGTTGAGGATTGTTAAAAAGGGTACGACTATATGATTTATTTCCTTAATGTAGCAAAAGACTCAACTGTAGCCATGATATTTTATTTGTTGAGCCTCCATAATTCTTGATACTCTTGCTTAGAATTTTGCACATGCTTTTGACATTTTATGCATATCTTCTCAAATATTAAATGATTATGTACATGCACTTTTAGTAGAAAGCTCTGCCGATAAATGGCCCAGATCCGCCCCCGGACATATGCATTGAAAATTCTGACCATTCTGCTGAGAACACAACTTTTTGTCTTTCGACCTTACAATCTCATTTTTAATGTTTAAAATATTATTCGAGCCTTGTATATAATCGGCCAGATTACGATCAACTCTCAGCTAACTCTAGGTCAAACTTAGGAATCTGAAAATAATTCGGGGTGCCAATGGCTGCTCATCTTTATGACCTTATCGAAACAGCTGGGAATGATTGCAATTGACTAACATAACAGGCTAAAATGACAAGTGATTTGAAATTCAAAGGCAACTAAACCTCCTTTTCGTGGATTACAATTAAGTTGCCTTAGAAGTGAAAACCAGAGAACAACCTCTTATTATTCATTATTATCATGGGACAGCCACAGGACTAGTATTTGCAATTTTTTCTTGCTTCGTGAAAATCACAGGTCCTGTAGGAAATTCCAAAGAGAACTCAATAAAGGAAAAGGTGAACAATTCAATTAACTTCCTCCAGACAGAAAAAATAAATTAACTTCCTGCTTTGTGCAAACAAATAAGATGGCACCGGCTGGACAAGCCAAGCCGCATGTATTGTCTCCAACTCTCTTCAATAAAATTTCTTCACCAATTTCCCGTCCCAAATGAATTCGGAAAGTGCCAGATGATAAAGAAAAGATGAGATTTCAGTGGGAGCATCAGCCACCAAAACAGATTATCAGCTAAGCTTCCCAACAGCTTCTTGAGCCCAAAACACCACTAAGCTCAAACTAATGCAGGACATTCACAACTAATAATGAGTCGAAGCAAAATCCCAGACTACTAGCATCAGCTAAGAACACCCAACAAGAACCATGAAGCTCAAACTAATACAAGACATTCCAATATGAACAAACAAATTAGTCAAAGCGAAATCACATACTAATCCCGTCAGCTAAGAACACCACGGGGGACCAACACATGTCCGGACGAACAGACCGAAATTTCACGAACTGATTGATGACCCGCATACGAGTTAAAGACGAAGAAGAGCAGGAAAGGGGTTCAAGCACCTCTCTGACGTCGGCGGGATCGACGGTCCAGGGACCGTAAACGCCCCGATAGACCGTCGGATTGGGCGAGCTGTCGCTGAGCGCCTTGCACGTCACGGACCCATGTCGAACTTTCCCAGTTCTCGCGGAAGCAAGTGGCTTTGGTTTCGGCGGAAGAGGGGTGTGCAAGAGAGCGGCGGGCATCGCTCTCGACGCCATGTCCGATGAACTCAAACGCGAGCAAGACCAGAACTTGAGCTCCAGGAAAGAACGATACGGACGCTAGACAGACATATAGAGATATCATGACACTGTAGCTGTTTTCTTGGAGTGTTGGAGATGTGAATTCTGTGGTCAGTAGAGGATTGGGCTCGGACCCAAAGCACGATCCTTTATGGGCCTAATGAAGGCCTTTATTTGATTGGACCGAGGAAGTGTAAGTCGACTCCTGTTACATATCAAGACGCAACCAAGAAGAAGAAAAACATCGGAGTAGTTAGAATTGACGTACCGCCGGATGTAAGAGGATGACTTTGGTTCCCCGTGTTCGGCACATGACGCGACCAAACCTTTTTGTTCATCTTGTACCTTGCTACATGTGTAGAAGTTCCATGGCGGGTTCATTAATCTCGAACCTCCGGGTTCCGAGCAGATAGAGTAGCAGTGACCCAAACCCCTTTATCACTATCTCGCCCCGTCCTAAAAGGAAGACCTGTTGGGCTCGTGCCCATTTTCCCCGGTGATTCATGGGCCAAAAATTTGTTGCCTAGTGATAAAAATGGGCTTGATGTGGCGAACGTGGCCCAACAGATGTAACAAAGTCCATGTGGGCCGCAATTACAAATTCGTTCCGCTGCCTCTCTGGTCTGGGACGTTGAATCGAAAGTCACATTTCACGTAACATGGTTCCTCCGCATGGAATCCCTGTTCTGTTGTTCCGTTACTGTTTTAGGACATAAGAAGCATATCATCAAACATTCCGCATTACGTTTGATAGGACCTAGTTGGAGGGGATCGCAACAACTCTAAGTACGTACTCTTGTTTGGATAGAGAGAAAAAGACGGGTGGGTAAAGTGAGGATGGATTGGAAGAGATTACGAGGTATTAACACAGCCGATTTTAGGCACGTTTTTAAAATCGGTCATCTGTGCATTAATTAAACAAGCTTTTATCCCGATTAAATTTTTTTGTCGACACCCTCGTTTTATCTTTGATCCTAAGTACCTAACAAAATATCTGTCATAATACTTTATTTTCTACTCTGCTTCCTTGTCAGCGACCAAACAACAGCACAACTTCTCTCTTCTTTTCTTTTCTATTTACTCCCCTGCTGATAAATGCCTAGTAAAAAGGAGATCAGCAGGGGAGGAAGATAGAAAAATAGATGATTCTGCGCAAAAAGAATCGGATTGCCTCCCCTCAACTAAGTAATAATCGTTCCATGCTTAAACCGGGCCTTAATACGACGGTTATTTCATAAGATTCACTTATCAATTTCTTCTCTTCCATTTCCTCGGCGACGAATGATCGGGCAGGCCGTCTTTGTAGCTCTCATCTTAGATGTGAATCCTCTGAAGTTAGGGTGTAAAATGCCCGGGTTAAGAGCACATTAGCTCGAAAAATCAAGCCTAGTTGCCGAGCCAAATGAGTTCGAGTGCCGGTACCGGAAGGGTTAGGACAATATCATCCGGTTCAAAAGCTCGACTTAGCCCAAAAACTAAGCATTTCCTCTTTAGATGAGCCGGCCCGGCCGGTAATTTAAGCTCGACTTTAGGGTCTACGTGAGTTAAGCCGTGTCAATGATGTGTGACGGTAGAAAATGTTGGGACAATTACCGCTAATTACACCGGTATAGCCTCACAGGCTCAAATCAAAGAGATTGCAAGGTATATTTTTACCCCACGCACTCAGCTTTTTCGATGGCTCCAAGAGAGCTTTTCCCTCGAGGTTTTTATCCCTTCGGATCGCGCAGGGACGACCCACGGAGGTATTTTGGGGACATAAAAGGCCAAATGCATAATGCCGAAAAGGGGCCCAAATGCCTGCTGCTTCCGATTCAATTCGCTCGTGGAGCGAACGTATCCATCGCTTTCGTCGATTGACAATGGACCCACGAATCTCTTCAAGCCGTCCAAGTGGGAGAATACGATCCATACCACGACTAACAAAAAGCGAGAGAGAGAGAGAGAGAGAGAGAGAGGGGGGGAGGGCTTTTTTGTCTGCGAAAGGAGGCGTGCTTCGTCAAAAAGATCGAATTCGAGCTGGAAAAAGCGGCTGATTCTTGGCAGGCCGCGATCAAGTGCAGACGCCGCATGGCCTCTCTCTCGCCCGCCCGCCCGCCCGCCCCCCATCGCTCGTTTCCGGATCCGCCATGATTCGCTTCCCAGACCAGACCAGACCAGGCCCCACCACCGCCCCGCACCCAACCAGCCGCAAAATTTGACGTCCGCGACCGAAAGCCCGCGTCCCACATCGGACAAAGGACGCCGGTGGTCCCCACGCACGCCTGCCTCGGAGGTAGTGACCACGTCAGCGTTCACGCCCCGCCTACGTGGCCGGTCACATGACCGAAAGAAGCTTCCTATTCCCTTTGTCCTCACGCGAGCTGCTCCTTCTCCCTCCGTTTCTTTTTCCCTTCTTTTTTTTTTCCTTTTTTTTTCCTTTTTTCCGCGTTTGAGGGGAACAAATATTTGCATTTTGAAAGTGTCTAAAGTCGGTCTTGCTTTCTCGCAAGGTTCCCTAACGAGATCCCAAGTAACTTTGCCACGAATTGATTGGCCGATCGGATTCTCCCGGATAGGGGACACGACGAATTCAGATAACATATAGCGCTTCTTGCCACGCACCCATCACTTTGTGGATGCAGTTTTACCTGATGCGTGCGAACGACGTGGTCTATGTCCATCCATATCGAAAGTTACTCAATTCGAAAGTCCCGAAACATATTGCACTCGTGCCAATTCAGTCTTAAACTTTTTAATTGTGTCAATTTAGTCCTAAACATTTTCACGTTTTGTCAATTGAGTCCATCCAGTCAATTTGGGTGGAAAATTACTGACGTGAATGTTGGCACTCCTACATAGCACGGCTGGCGTTGGCGTGAATTTTTTTAATAATTTTTTCGGTCTTCTTTCTTTTCTTTTCTTTTCTTTACTCTTTTTTCGTTTAGACTAAGGGCTGGCAAGGGTCGCAGCTGACCCTCGCCTACCACAGGCGAGGGCCGACGAGGCTCGCTGTTCTCACCAGCCTGCGTCCTAGCCGTCAGAAAAAGGAAAAGAAAAGAAAACCAAATTTTTTTTTTAAAAAAACTCAAAAAAATTATTTAAAACTGTCAACGTCAGCGCTGGTCATGCAACGTAAGACGAACGGCATCCGCGGTAGCGATTTCCGGCCTAAATTGGCCGGATGGATCAAATGGCAAAACGTAAAAATGTTTAGATGTAAATTGGCACAATTGAAAAGTTTAGGAATGAATTAGCACAAGTGCAATAGATTTAGGAATTTTTTGATAGTTTTCCCTATAAATAACTTATATCATCAAAAGAATAATTTCTTGTTAAATTAAATATTCACGAGCACCCTTGTTTTTTCGCCATATCACGCGCATCCTTTTATTAATGATGTCTGGGAGTATTTTTTTTCTTTCTATATTGATAGAACTTCATAAAGTGTTTATTTTCTCCAAAGTGAAAAATCTTTAGAGTTCAGATAAATACGAGCTTCCTTATCCTTCGCTCTGATCCTGCAGAAGTAAATCGCCCCTTTTCCCGGTGCTTTGTAGTATTTCCAATGGCCCACGACATATGTAGTCTGTGCATGCGCGATTTCAATCCTTGGAAAGTTGAAAGGACGCCAAAAATTCCAACCAGACCAAGCGTGGCATCTGAAAGAGACGGGGCAGAGAGACGAGATTGGCGTCATTTCGAGCTCGGAAAGGTTATGAAATGTCCCACCTTTGGTTCTAAAAGGTTTCGGTCGCTAATCATTTCATTTCATTTCATGTGAACTAAAAGCACCATCGTGCATAAACCTAAATAAAGTAACAGTAAAGGTGCATGGTATCAGCGTCCTTCATCGGTCATCCGTGTTTCCCACTCGGTTGTCGGATGGAACACCTTCGAGGAGCGCGGTCATTCGCTGGCGTTTCTTAAATTCTTCCGGTCCGAAATTTTGCTATGTGCTTACAATCCAGTTCGTCCATCTTTTTGACTTGACCGGATCAAAGTCTAACCTGTCGGCACCCGTTCGATTATGTAGCCAGCTCGTTTCGTTTGCATGCGTTATATTTTGCTTATCATTCTTTTTGCCATCTTTCGGTGGGTGTGTGTGGGGTGTGAAAGTGACAAATCAGCACGTTCTTGAAAGCCGAATGATTTGAAAAAATGGTGGTGCCAATTGAAACGTGATAGGTAGATCACGTGTAGAGTTTCAGTTTCTCGAGAATGAGCCAACCATTTGACGGAGACCGCTATGACCGTCCAATTTCAGAAGTCGAATGCTCGCGTTTCGCCTCACTTAGCAGACTTTGAAACACATGGTGAGCCATTAAAAGGGAAAACGGTGGATAGTCACTGTCACTGTCAAGTTCTCACGATCCCTTGCGGGGGGGTCTCAAGGAGACCTAACGAAGCCTAGGAGATACGACTCCTGAAAAGGATTGATCTTTAGATTCTGTCATAAAAGATCTCTGAATCTACTTGTGTTTCAAGATCTCTCGTGCTTTGGCCATGAAAGAGAAGGAAAAAGAGAGAGAGAAAGGACCTCTCATGCTGAATATTTAGCTGTGTCGTACGTGTGGGGGACGCTCCTAATGTGGATTCTTCGTATGGCATTTGGACTCCAATGACGTGCGCGTATGACCATATTAAAGAGTTTTTTTTTAGCTAAATTGACCATATTAAAGAGTTAAGAGCTAATAAATGGGGTTAAGTGCACAAGCATACATATACTATCAAACAAAGAATGTTAACAAGAAAATTATCAATTAGGCAACTCTAAAGCCTACGATAAGAAAGTTGACGCGCACAATAGACTGTTTGAGGAACTAGCTAAATAAATGAAAACAAACCGCGAAATGATAGATCATTGAGAATATCCAAAATTCAACTCTCTCTCTCTCTCTCTCTCTCTCTCTCTCTCTCATACCTATAATGGGTAAATCATTGCACTTCAATAAAATGTGGCAATAATCGGTTAAGTATATCACTTAATCCAAACATGTAGTTGAGGATTGACTAACATATGAAGGATAAATTACAATCTCTCACATGTCTCAAATGTGCATATGGGACATAAGATCATCTC